TTTTTATATATATTGATTTTAAGAGTTAAAAAAAAGTGTTTTAAATTATTGATACTTTTATTATTTTCTTTTCTAAGTTTTAAAATTTATTTTAAATAAATTGCTGCATTCATTAATTTAAGTTAACGAGATTACTTTCGTGGTGTGTGTTAAATTCCAACACATTTGAAATTACATTTTTAAAAATCTTTTGATTCTTGAGATTGAAAGTACAGATTAAAGTAAACATTTAATGCTGCCTTAATATAGACTTGCATAGCTGTAGAAAGTAATTAATAAACATGAATTTTTAAAAAAAAAAAAAAAACAAATGTGAATGTTAATTAAAATTCTACCTTTTGATTGAAAAAGCGTGGAATTAAAATCTACATTATATTTTATTGGTGGAAAATGTATATTTCTGAAGCTTGAGATTATATTAAAAAGAAATTACCCTAATATGCCAAAAATAGAAAGAAAGAAAAAGGCTGATGAATTCACATATTTTTTTCCTGATATAGTGTCATTCTTTCCTTTCAAACTCTTTCAAAGTCTATTTGAAGCAGTAGGGTTATTAACTGGTATTTTTTCTCAAAGTATGTTTACAGTATCTTTGACATTATCAGATTTTCTGTAAAGAAATTTAGTGAAAAAAAATTCCAATGAGCACATAGATTTTTTTTTAAAAATTTTTTAGCTTATCTATTTTGATATAGGATTAAAAATGAATATTTCAATATAAAAATATATGGATTAAATATTTATTTACTTTTTGATATATGACTACATTTATAAACACAATATGTTACATTTATTTTGTCATTTTAAAAATCAAGAGACAAAAAAAAGAAAGCACAATTTTAAATTATAATTATGGTTTGCTAATTGAAACTTTGTTTTATTAGTTAAAGCTGCATTCTTTGAATTCTCTATTTCATCTGGTCTTTAAATTTCAATCATCCATTTATTTCAAAATGGTTGCTATGCATTCAAAGCTATGTATTATAATGAAAAATTATTTTAGTAAGTTAGAGTTTCTAAAATATTGTTATAATATAGTTTTAATATTAATTTAATTTTGATTAAACATTTATAAAGTTTTCTTCATCATAAATTTAAGTTCCTACAGTGTATTTGAATTTAAAAATATCTGATTTAAATATAAAAAAATCCGATTTAAATCAAAAAAATCTGATTTATTTTAATTTTAAAATCAAAAAAATCACAAACCCTGATTAATAACATTGATTATAGGTATAACCAAAACTGTTATACTCTGCATCTTCGTATTTATAGATTTTAAATTTAAAAAACAAAGTAAAAAAAAGAGAGTTAAAGCAATAAAATAGCTGAAAAAAATACAAAAGCAAATAATTTATTTTTCCTTTTTTCTGCAGAATTACATTGTAAAGACACTTTTCTTGTTCATCGGAAAGAAAAGAAACACTCCTGATTTTCCTGTTTTCATTTCGGAAGGAAAAAAATTCGCCAATGACTGGCTTGCTTCAGCTAGAATTTTAAATTGATAAAATAAAAAAAAATTATAATAATAAAAATTCTGAAATCACAAAGTTTAAAAGATAATTTGCTCTAGAAATGCTTTTTCTTTCATTTTTTGAAAGAGCACCATAATTTTTAAAGAACATAATAAAAATATTTTAATAAAATATGACTGTGAGTGGGGATTTTGTCATAAATTCAGATATTCAAAACACCATGAAATTGTGTGTGGGGGATGTGAATTCCATTTTAAAAATTAGATTTTTCGGCGACCTAAATCTATGACTTTCCATTATTTTTTTAAAAAATAGTTAAAATCATGACATTCTATGTTAAATTTTGTTCAATACTGAAATTCATGACTTTCCAGGTGCGCAGATAACCTGCATAAAAATTTGATAGTGCAAAATTGGTAATTGAGTTTCTTTTTCTTTAAATAATGGAATTGCAAAATAGTTTGAAGTAATGAATTCTGTAGGTAAAGCAGTATGCCAGAAACATGCATATAATTAGTAGATAATCCCCACTAATTATATGCATATTTGAACTATTTAATTTTGAAATTTTTAATAGCATTATCAAATGAAATAAAAATTAGTTTTATTGAAAGTACAAATCTTCTAATTTTTTCAAATTGATTATTTCAAAATTCTCATTTTTATTCGTAAAAAGGACAACAACAAAAAAATTATTTAATTTTAAAAAAATTTTGCACATAACACCAAATATTTTTCATCAGGAAAATCAGGACTACACTGGTACAGCAGCCTCACACAAAATAATGAAAATGATTATAAAATAAGTTATTAATTTGAATTAAAAACAGGCATTGTTCATATTTATAACTTTTTATAGCTGATTGTTTTCATTTTTTACAACTAAGAAAAATAGTCTTTCCTTCAATAAAAATGAATCATTTTCAGTGAAGTTTTTTCCTGATACCCATAATAGAATCAAACAAGGAGAATTTTGCAGTGGAACAACAGAAGCTACTTGATGCTGCCATCTACATAGTAGACTAAAAGTTATTTCTTCCAATTTAATTCACAATCATCACTACTGTACTCAGTATTGGTAACAATTGCATTTAACTACACAAATATATTTAAACATTTAGATCAGTTAAGATTAAAAGATTTCAATCTTGAATTTTTACAGGGTCAAAAAAATAGTTCAAGAGTTATTTACTTGGGAAGAAAAAATAAATTATGTAATATATTTATTGAATCTATACAGATACAGGAATTAGTTGTATATCAAATATTTTATAATTTATCTACATTGAATCTCAAAAAATTGATTTGGGGAAAATTTGTTTTCTGAATTGAAAGAACTCACCCAATTCCAAACACTAAACAAAATTATTTTAGTGGAGTCGTAGGGACTCAATGGATTTTTTTTTTTAAATTACTCATTTCAATGAAAATACTTAATTTCCACAAAATTTTATATATTAAAATAAATATTTGCACTAATAAAAAAATCCAAGTGCACATTATAAAATTGTAAAAAAAAATTCTTTTCTTTTTTTTTTTACAAAATAGTTTTAAAAGAATTCCCATATCTATATCATTAAAAAAATAAACCTATTTTGAAAACTGCTATTTTTAAAAAACTTTGAATGATTATTTATCATTCCTAAAACCGTATTATTCGAAGAATACTTTTAAATATAAAAATTATTTCTATAACTGATCACAGTTGAAATGTATTTCATAATAAATTGGATCATTATTTTCACTTGAGAAAAACATGTTAATCTGTATATTTTAGAATTATTATTTGCTTTGTATATAAAATTACACTATAATTAAAATTTAAATTATTTTTATACATAGGAAATTGTATTCAGAATTATACCATAAAATATAAAAAAATATTTTCATAAAAAAAACAAATCCTATTAAAAATGATGTACTTTAAAAACTGTTACTGAGTATGTTTAATTTTTAAAAAAAATAAAAGCAATAGTATTTCGGTTTTCTCAAAAAACTCAAATATATAAAGGGAGAGGGATAAATTTTTCCTAAAAAAATTTCAGCTATAGAAAGCAATTTTTATTTATTTTTCAGATGGACTATTGACAATATTAGCAAATTTATTTCTGTTTAATTTGCAATATCATATCTTTTCAACAAAAATTAGTTGATGAGATTCTNTAACAATTGCATTTACCTACACAAATATATTTAAACATTTAGATCAGTTAAGATTAAAAGATTTCAATCTTGAATTTTTACAGGGTCAAAAAAATAGTTCAAGAGTTATTTACTTGGGAAGAAAAAAAATTATGTAATATATTTATTGAATCTATACAGATACAGGAATTAGTTGTATAACAAATATTTTATAATTTATCTACCATTGAATCTCAAAAAATTGATTTAGGGAAAATTTGTTTTCTGAATTGAAAGAACTCACCCAATTCCAAACACTAAACAAAATTATTTTAGTGGAGTCGTAGGGACTCAACGGATTTTTTGTTTTTTTTTTTTTAAATTACTCATTTCAATGAAAATATTTAATTTCCACAAAATTTTATATATTAAAATAAATATTTGCACTAATAAAAAAATCCAAGTGCACATTATAAAGTTGTAAAAAAAAATTCTTCCTTTCTTTTTTCTTTTTACAAAATAGTTTTAAAAGAATTCCCATATCTATATCATTAAAAAGATTAACCTATGTATTTTGAAAACTGTTGTTTAAAAAATTTTGAATGATTATTTATCATTCTAGAACCGTATTATTTGAAGAGTAATACTTTTAAATATAAAAATTATTTCTATAATTGATCACAGTTGAAATTTATTTCATAATAAATTGGATCAGTATTTTCACTTGAGAAAAACATGTTAACCTGTATATTTTAGAATTATTAATTGCTTTGTATATAAAATTATTCTATAATTAAAATTGAAATTATTTTTATACATAGGAAATTATATTCAGAATTATACAATATAACATAAAAAAATATTTTCTTAAAAAAAGAAAACAAATCATATTAAAAATGATGTTCTTTAAAAACATCATTTTTGTTACTGAGTATAGTTTAATTTTTAAAAAAAATAAAAGCAATAGTATTTGGGTTTTATCAAAAAACCCAAATACTATTATTATGCCCCCTTATATATTTGGGTTTTATCAAAAATCCCAAATATATAAGGGGGGGGGGATAGATTTTACCTAAAATTTCAGCTATAGAAAACAATTTTTATGTATTGTTCAGATGGACTATTGACAATATTAGCAAATTTATTTCTGTTTAATTTGCAATATCATATCCTTTCAACAAAAATTAGTTGATGAGATTCTTAATTTAATTATCATTGAATTTGCAAATGAATTTTTTATTCTGATTCCAGAATTTTTTTTGCAAAATAAAAAAAAAGTTAACATTTAATTTTGACAGAGCTTTTTACATTAATCTATAATAGCTTAGCTTTTGAGATGGAGCTATTTTTTTGTTTTGTTTCCTACTTTTTAAATTGATTAAAATAAATAACGAAACAAAAGTATTTAAAAAATAATAAATTTCAAAGATTTATTGTAAAATTTGACAAAAAAGAAACAAAAACATACATGTATATTCTATATAAAGATTTGCATACCGATTTCCATACATAAAAGAAGCTGCTAAACTAATGTGGTTACAGATAGTATAAAGTATATAAAAAAGTGCTTTTACAATTAGCGTAGTTTTCTGGCACTTAAAGTTCTCTCCATCTTTTCTCGTTCCTTTACAGATTTATTGAGAGCTTGAACATCTTTCTTAAGTTTTCCTGTTGGACTTTTGAAAGAGATTCTACAAAAAATTTTAACAAACATAATTTAATCACAATACATTAGATTACTATACATTAAATTATTTCACAAGGCAAAGTCTTATACAACACAACTTTACACAAAAAAAGAATAGAAAAATTTAAAACCTCCATCAAATTTAATTTATTAATAAAGTAACCTGTAATTTAGGTAGCTTTTATATATTCTACTTGTGATAAAAAACCAAAATAAATTTATGCAGATAGTTTAGTTTTTAAAAGCATTTTATTATGGAACTGCAAATATGGCAATATTTAAGGAAATTTACAACCAGAAATTATTGAACATAGAGCTTTTCTTTTTTTTTTTTAAATATTTTAATTTCAAAAAATCTGTCAAAAATATCTACCCTGCTGCTCCTGAATTTTTACAAAAAATAGTAAAAAGAGATTCTAGATATGTTTACTTTGGTTGTTGATGGTTATTGAAAATTTTAATATCGGTTATTTTTTTAGTTTGTTGAAAGAGCTTTCCAAGATTAGATCAAAAATTGCATCATTTTCTGACAATTCCAGGTATTCCTGACCTGAATACCAGGTATCTCTGAATATATATTCTTATCAATCATGAAAAAATTACATCAAAATGAAATTTTCAGAACAAATTCTGCCATTTTTATTTGATTGCAGTCATTTCTTTTAGATACGTCACATAACCGATAGAATTAGTTTAGGTCAGTGGTTTCCAAACTTGATGTTACTACGCCTCCCTTAAAAATATTTATACATTTGGCGCCCCCCCNGATTTGGAACTTATGAAACTTTTGATATTGGGCTAATTTACTGGCTAATAATTTGAAGTCTTCAGCACAAGCCCTACTGTGACCCCATGGGAATACTATGTTTAATATAAGACGAAAACTGGGATGAAAAAGAAACATTTCTTAAAAAGGCAATAAAAATTTGAATAGTTAAATTTTTGTTCAGGCAACTATCAATAAAACTTAAGCATAAATTTCTATTATTTATAAATTTTAACCAAAGTGTAAAATATAATGAAAACTAAATTTAAAAAAAAAAACTATTGTTACATGTTAAATATAAATAATAAAAAGTTAGCAGAATTTCATTATTTTTACTAATAGATGCTACAGTTTTAATTTTCAAGTCCTTTTTTTTTTGGTTCTTTTTCTGAAATCATGCTCTATAGTTGCAAATTCAATACGTTTTTTGGAAATATCACAAGTCAGTTCATTGTCACAACTAAAGTCATTAAAAAAAATAAACCACCATAAAATTTATTTGATAAATAAAATAAGTAGTTAAATTCCTTATTACCTTTTTGGTGAAACTCTTTTACGAGGAGTTCTTTTTGGACTTGGTGTTACAAAGGAAAATGGGGTATATAACTTCACCGGTGTGATGTTTTCATTCAAACCTTGATAGTTTTGTCTCTTGCAAAAGCTGCTACGTGTTTTCATAACGGGTCGAAGTTTCTATAAAAATTATACTTTGAAATAAAGCTGCAGAGTTAAAAAAAAATCTACATCCAGAATAGATTTACAATTAATAATTTGAAAATAATTATTATACAATCACAAAATATTTATAATTTCATACTTATATATACTACTTATTAATCTTTAATTTTTTAATAAAATTATAAACTAGTCCTTTAATATTTAAATGATACTCTTATAATTGAATCTGAAAAATAAATTTTAACTAAACAAATAAAATTAATAAATTAAATCACTTTTCATCAGCTAACTTTTAAGAAAGAAACTATTTTCTATCATTACAAATCTTGTACAATTATTTACAATCTAAAAGACTGCTCAGTTAACATTAGAAAATTAAAGATCTTTTCATCCAAAAATCAAGATTCCTCAATTCAAGCGAAAGATACAAAATAAAGGAAAATTGCTCATAATTCTTTTAATGCTTTTTATTAAAGTTCTTATCCTTTGGATCAATTTTTGTAATAATATACACAACTTAAATTATTATATAGCCCAGTTATGCAAACAATTTTAATGCAATAATAGAAAAAATTCAATTAAACAATGTTAAACCAAAAATCAAGTATTTAGGATTTAAAATACAAAATTAGCATTGAAATGCTTGACAAAATACTGAAACAAGTTTATCCTTATTCTTTGTATGCTTTTTATTAAAGTTCTTATCCTTTGGATCAATTTTTGTAATAATATACACAACTTAAATTATTATATAGCCCAGTTATACAAACAATTTTAATGCAATAATAGAAAAAATTCAACTAAACAATGTTAAACCAAAAATCAAGTTTTTATGATTTAAAATACAAAATTAGCATTGAAATGCTTGACAAAATACTGAAACAAATTTATCCTTATTCTTTGTATGCTTTTATGTTCTTATCATTTGGATCATTTTCTTTAATAATATGTACAATTAAAATTATTATATGGCTACTAAATAATATTTTTAAGGCAATGACTTAATTTTTAAAATAATGAACTTAATTTTATCATTAAAATACTTAATCTATGGTAAAATGTATAATTTTAAATAAAAACAGCTATAAAATCACTCCTACAAAAGGCATTAAACAAAATAAAATAGGGAACACATAAACTGAACATTTTTTACGCATTTAGAAAATGAAAAATTAGCGATATAAAATTAACTAGCAACTAAGTTTAATTATTACCATAGAAAGATCACCAATTGAGGATTTGACGTTAGTGATTGTTCGACATGCAGTAATTCTAACATCATTCAAAAGTCTTTCAACACGTTTAGTATTGGATAGTTTTGTTACAGTAAGTGATTTATTTTCTTGATCATATATTGGCGTATTAGCAGTACTCTTTTGGGTAGTTCTTTGAGAATTCATTATGCTTATGATCTACTTATATTTTACGTTCATTTAATAATACAAATTTCAAAAAGTTAAATAAACCGCTACAGTCAAAGTAAAAGTTTATGAAAGTTTTAGGCCGGTAAATAGCCGGGGTGATCAAGAGCTGCATCATATCATAGAAGAATACAGTTCTGTATTCCAGAGTTCAAAAAGAGAAAAATATTTGATTTTATAACAAGTTATAAATTATTATGTGCTTTATTAATCAAAATCATTCATTAACTTTATTAAAGGAAATTTTATAATGCAGGATTATAAAATTTTGGCAACAGAAGAGCTATCATAATCTTAAACTGAATAAACTTAAAGCACTGATTACATGCGAAAATGTCGCTTATTCTTCAAGATTTCAATACTTTTCGATTGTGAACTTTCTAAACGTATTCGGCCTTGTGAATGGAATACATAATATCCATTTGAAGCAATTTCTCGCCGAACAACTAAAAATTGTTTGTCATTCATCTTGTCTTATTTCTCTAATAATGGCTCTCGAATCACTTTGTGGAGTGTCATCCAATTTTGGTTTTGGACAACGGAAACAAAATGAAGAAGACATTGAAAACTTTGTTACAAAATATTGCGGAAATTTAACTTGTCCTACACAGCTTGCATTACCCCCTTTCAGAGACGTAAGTTCAAAAAGTATTTTTTTACAGCAACATTGAAATCGAATTATCTTTTCTGCAATTATTTCTTTAAACTATGCGTGACTGCCGTATTATATTTATTTTATCTTCAATATACATTACAAAATAGATAAATATATTTTTTCCTGGACAAATAATTTGATCGTGATAATCACTTAAAAATGTATTACTTTAATATAATAATTACATCATACGCTGTTTGAATTCGTATCTTACAAGCTTTTGGAAGAGTAAATTTGCAAAAAATCGAAAGTAATATATAATGAGCAACAACTGGCGTCATCTCTAACATATTTTGCTTGCACCAGTTGCTATGCTTCCTTCTTACTACCCCATACTTATGCTTAGGATAAATTAACAATTTAACTGCTAGTCTAATGTGATTATGGGTGTTAATTTTCATAATTGTCCCATTGCCTGGTGTTTTTCCTTTTCTTTTTTTTTCTTTCCTTCACTGCTCAATTGTTTAAGTGCAGAATCTAATTCCAAAATCACAATATAGATTCCTTTAATTTCTGACAAGAAAAAGATTTAAAAATGTCATTGATTAAAGCAAACTCTGGGGAGGGGATATTTCCGTATTGTGATCTGACGTGCCAATTACAATCGTCAGGGTGCCAAATAGATTTTAAACTTGCAAATTTTTAAAAAGAAACATGTACATGTTTGCCCGTGTTGGCTACAAGTCATACCTTTTGAGTTGCTCCTATTCTGTCATGTTTTCTATATTTTAGCTTCCCGCGAACTGCTGCCTGGAAGTTGCTAAGACCTGACAATTATTCTGCCACTGATCACGATACGGAAATCTCTTCTCTGTCATTATTTATGTGTCCTGATCTGTTGCACCAGCAACAATCGACAAGGTGCAAGATTTATAAATTTTACTTACAAATTTTAAAAAAAAACATGCAGATGTTTGCCTGGGAGTTACCAAGTCTTGGCCATTATTCTGCTACTACAGATCATAATACGGAAATCTCCCCCAAATTCTTAGCTAGCTTGAGAGAAGAACTTTGCTCCACTGACCACAGTTTCATAATCTGGAGCTGATACAGAATTTGAACTTCAGAATAATTTTTATTTTTTGTTGATTAAAAAGTATATTTCTCCTTTGGAACATAATTAAGCTTATCGTAGTGCCATTGACTAGATAGGTAGTACTCGCAGTAATGAAAAGAAAAGCTTTTTTGCTGAGGTTATCCTTCTAATTCGTCTGGTTTTCTGAGAACTTGCTATTTAGTAAGCCTGGTTGTCGTCAAAATCTGATAATCATTTTATTGCGAGATCTGATTGATTCAGAATTGTTTTTTCAGATTTAATCATCTATGGTAAGAAATGACTTTCACTTGTAGACTATGATATGTTTTCTGTTTAGCCCAAACTTTTGTTCTATTGTTTGTGAAAACATACTTGAAAGACCACAAATGAAATGGCATATTTTTGTTTCCAATACCTATATCGCCTTATTCAGTTTTCAAAGCATTATTTTTTCTATAACTTATTTTTCACACAATCTGAAAGAAAGCATGTCATATAATTTGTATAATTGGAAGCATGTACCATGGCCAAAAAGAACATCTTAAGTTTATACACCATTTTTCATGTACTAAGACTTAACCCAGGGCTCCCACTGATCAAAGCAAATTGGGAATACCTAGAAATGTCAGAGAATTTTATTTTGACTCTTTAAAAGCAGGAAATAGTTAGGAAAAAGTGCAATCTTTTTTTCTTTTCTTTTTTTACAAAAACCAAAACATTCCTACATCATACTTGGAAAATAACCAGTCTTAAAATTGTCAGTTACAGTAATCAATTATTAAAATTAAAATTAATTATAATTTATTGTAAAAATTTGACATTTTAGTGGGACTTTTCCATGTTGCCACCCTTGTTCAATTATAATTTTTTGCTTACAAAATTTAATATTTAACATTACAATTAAAAGAATTGAAGTTTTCTGATGAAAAATGGCGTTTTATATGTAAAATAGGGTCTGAATTTTCATTGAAATTTTCTTGGTTAACTTGAAGAAATCAGGAAATTTTTTTATGAATTGAATGAGAACCCTGTAACCTTAATGGTGCAAAATTTAAAAATATTTAACTTGCTTAGAAAATATTTTAGGTTATAAAATCTAAACTCAAAGATGTAATTTCTCTGAATAAACGTACCTTTTTTGTCTTGGGATTTGAATTCTTGAGCCTCAACTGCACTCAAGAAAATGTGGAAATTTGTGCGCACAGTTATTGAACTTTTTTATCTTAAAATAATTCTGTGTAAAAATTTATTTTCTGTTATTTTTCATTTTTTATTATTAAATTTAGTAATGAACTGAATTAAATTGTGAGGAGTCAGTTTTTTTATATCAATTTAATCTATGTAGTATGTGGTTTAAAATAACAAAATCCAATGTATTTGAAGGGAATTGGTCTAATGGTTCTTGAAAAACAAAAATTTTAATATATGACCTCTATGACGTAATGAGATATGGAAAAAGTGAGATTAACATTAAGGAGCTTAAAGTTTCCACCCCTCTCTGACCTTAACTGTTTTGTCTGACCTAAACTCCATGTTTTGTGTACCGAGAATCCTAATCTTTCGAGAAAAAAGGTTTGTTTTTGTTTCGATTTCATAATTTCATTTGTTTTTCATTGTCTACACTTATTTATTAGCATGTTTAAGATTAGGCCTTCAAAACATTAATATTGTATCCTAGTGCAAGAAAATTTGAGAATTATTGAATTCAATGTTATTAAGGTGTTGTTGTTTTTTTTGCCATGTACTTTAGTTTTGTGCTGATTTTGTGTTTAATTGTTTTGGTTTGTCAATTTTTAGCCAGGCACAGCTCAGCAAGTTTTTGAAAAAGATGAACATGGAAATCGTGTAGGAATAGACTTTCACAAAGGAACAACTACATGTGGCTTTAAATTTAAAGGAGGTGTTATAATTGCTGTTGATGCAAGAGCAACTACTGGACCATACATTTGTATGAAATAATATCTTATATTACTCAAACCTTTTTTTGAATTTTAATAGTGTTATGTTGTACAGAAATAAAAATTTTTAATATTTAAGGTTTGTCTTAAGCTATATCTTAAATTCAAAATTTACAATAGCTTGATTCTCTAAATTTTAAAATGGCATTCAGAATAAAGAATATTTTAGAAATTCGAAGTATAAATAAACCACTAAATATAATTATGTAACTCAAACTCAATGACTTGTGTTGTTAAATCGTTGACAAACTACTCTTAAGTAAGAGTTAGGTATAAGTATAACCCTTCTAATAATTTTGTCTTGAATAGTCTTTTTATTCAAGTCCTTAAATATTTGTCACTGATCTAATTAAAATTCTTCGTCATCTATTAACCATGTGTTGTGTTAATACCAGGAATGTTTTTTTTTTATATTATTATTCTGTAATTCTTGTCTTAAATAAGCTTTTGATTTTTATTTCTCTTTTAATAGTTTCCTTTTTTTTTCTTTTTTTAAGCTTAGATTTTAGATTTATCATAAATTCAAAATTTCAATGGCTTGTTTCTTCAAATTCGAAAAGAAGAAGAAAAACATTAGAATAAGGAATTTTTTTTTAAATTAGAAGTAGAATTTAATGACTAAATATAATAATTATGTAATTTGATGACTTGGGTGAAGGTTGTGTAGTTATGTTTGCAAACCAATCTTGAATGAGAGTTCGGTATAGATTTAAATTTTCTAATAACCCCGTTGCTAATAACCTTTTGATTTAATTACTTAAATGTTTGTCACTAATCCAATTAAAATACATTGTCTCAACCATGTGCTGTGTTAATACTCGAATGAATTTTTATATTATTGTTTTATTCTTGTCTTAAATAAGCTTCAATTTTTTTTTCTTTTTTATAGCTTCAACTGCTGTTAAGAAAGTAATTGAAATCAATGATTACCTATTGGGTACAATGGCTGGTGGTGCTGCCGATTGTGTTTATTGGGAACGTATTCTAGCTGAAAGATGCAGGTACTGAGTGTTTCAGATTTTTATTATTAAGAAAAAAATAAATATCAAAAATCAAACTAATTTCAGATTTTTATTGTGTAATATTGTATAAGAATGGGTAAGTTAATATTAGTATGTCATAATGACAGACTTTTTGCAGTTGTTGAATATTTTTAAAAATTGCGATCTTACTTAGTTCTATAAGCCTTTTCTTAGTTTTTAACAGTTATTTATATCTGTTAAATTAAGTTGTAAAGATGTTGCTGTATTTTGGACTTACATTTTTTTAAATTTTAAGTATTTTTCTTGTTAGTTCTATTAAAATTATTATTAATACCTATTTTAACTTCCATTCTCTTAAAATCAAAGCCTAATGGTAAATTTAGTCTAACCAATATACCCAAGACCAGTTTTACAAAAAAGTATGAAATTACCATTGTTATTAAAGTCCACAACATATTCTTATAGGTTGAGGAAATATTGTTTGTTAACTGAAGAGAAATAAACTCAAATTTATTCAAAATTTTAAGAATTTGAATTCTGATTCTGTCGTAAAGCAGTCAAATTATAAATTTTTATAAAATCCTGAATTCACACTAGAAATATATAAGAGCACTTTTGAACAACACCTAACACCACAAAAATTTATCAAAATGTGTAATATGATGTAATAACTGAATTTGATCCTCAACATTTTGTAAATTACCCTCTAATGTTATTTTATGTGTATCTTTTAAAAAGTAATTCTTACTTATTATCGAAAAAAGAGAAAATGTTGTATTTATAAAAAATAATTAAAGGCATGCTAAAACACTGTGCACACATTTTTTTCCAAGAAAAGTAAACTAAAAAGTAATTAATTAACAACTTGAAAGCTTTTTTCTATAATCCAAACTGAAAATTATGAGAAAATGAAAATTCAAAGATGAATTTTTTTTAAGATATTTATTTCAATAACAATTTTTAAATCACATAAAAAATTCATTAATATACCCCTCTAACCCACCCCTCCCAAAAAAGAGAAATTTATGAAAATTTAATCAGTTGAAATTAATCCAGACTAAATAAATATATGTAATAGAAATCAGAATTAAGCCTATAAACACAGATAATTCCACCTGTGAGTTATTAAAGTGATTTTTTTTTTCCAAAATGGAATATGAATAAAAAGGCAGTGTTCTAAAGGGATAGCGACAAATTTTTACAAAATGTGCAAAGAGGGTGCCCCAGAGGACAACCAGGGCCCTTTTAAAGACAGTGGAAGATCAATGATATTAGATATGTAATGCTTCATTTTTTCGAATGTTTGGTAATATATACTTATTGAAGAGATAGTGTTCTGAAAATTCAACAAACAACACAGATTTTGAAATTAAACTTTTTTTTTTTAAATCCATTGTCAAACTATATATGAAGTATTCTAAGCAGAATAAAAAAAATAATAATTGAAATATTCATTTTAAGCATATTATATATTTTTTTTAAATAGTTGAGGAAATTAAGTATGATGGTTGAACTTAATGATTCTTTACTATCTTCTATAAATATTTTATGATGTGTCTCTGGTTATTTCATCATCCTATTTTTTCCATAAAACTAAATTCTCTTACAGGATTTATGAATTAAGAAATCGTGAACGTATATCAGTTGCAGCTGCATCAAAACTTTTAGCTAACATAATGTTTAACTACAAAGGAATGGGACTCTCATTGGTATAAATTTTAGAAAAATTTGCTTTTTTCAATGCTCAATTTTTTTATAGATATTTCTCTAATATGTCCTCTATTTTTCAGGGTGTGATGATTTGTGGATGGGACAAAAGAGTAAGAATTTTACTTTCCTACTTGTTAATTTAAACAGTTTTTATGAATTTAGTGGTGGGCATAGTAGCATTCTTCATTATTTTACTGTTCATAAATATTAAGTATAAAAATATGATTAAATTTTTAAAACAAAAACTGTTTATATTACTATGTACTTCAACCTAATATAGACATATTGTCTTTGTATCCATGTTACATTTGATCATATTATGTTGACATTACATTGCTTATTCAAAATTGCTCTAGGTTTTTTCATTTTATTTTAGAATGTTTCGTAAATTGTAGAAAGTTAAAAGAGAAAACAATTCCTATCATAATTTACTCAGTTCGTTGCTTGTTTGAGTATTAAAATTTTATTATTTTATGCTTCCTATTTTTAAATTCTTGAAAGATTATCTTATAACTATCTAATATGGGTGCAGTATCTATTAATTTTCTACATTATTAATTCTAAAGTGTAAAAAACATATAAATATTTTAGAGTCAAATCCATAATGTGTCAGTAAAAAAGGAAGTGTATTGAGCAGTGAAAAATATAGAGTAATAAGGATATTGTGTGTTGCTTATAAAATATTCTCAAATATTTTATTCATTAACTTTTTTATGTTGAAACTTATTGGTGAATCGGTGCCATTTCTAAAAAAAAATAGAAAATTGATTACATCATCGCATTGAGGCAAATTTTAAAAATATGTTGTGAATATGAAATTGAGACTCCACATTTGTTTGAAAATTTCAGAGCAGATTATGATGTCATTGATAGAGCCGAGGTACTAAATGTTCTGTCAGAAATTAATGTTCCAAAGTTAAACTTGTGAAGCCCATTCTTATCGTAAAAGTTCTTGCATGACTTCCCTTATCGCTAAAAGTTATCTGCTCTGGGAATATTAATACAAAGATTACAATTTTTTTATGAATTAATATATATCCTGACATATGCTGATGATGTAGACATAATTTCAAGTTGTGGAGTTATATTGGGAGAATCCTTTTTGGAATTTTGAAGGAGGCAGCAAGGAAATTGAGTGTAATAATATAATATTTAACAGAGGAGAAAAAGTATATTTATTGAAGCAATAGGGAAAATATTCCTGAATTGTTTAAGACAGACTCTTTTAAGTATAAATTTGAAGAAAAAGAAATTCCTATCTGGGATTTAAAATTGACTATTAAAGTATTAATCCTTATATCAAAAAAAAGAGTTTTTGAAATGAATCGTTGTTTTTTTCTAAGTTTAAGATCTTCATTGAAATCCCATTCAATGGAAAGGACAAAGTTTGTATACAAGATAATGATAAAACCTGTCTTAACTTAGACTTTTAAAGACATGGGCCTTAACCATATAATAGAAATAAGCTTTTATCGTATCTAGCTGATAAGATCTTTGAACTATCTTTGGCATTGTCTTGCATAACACTTTGCTAAATACATGCTATAGAACAGTGGTTACCAACTGGCAGCCTGCAAAGCCTTTTTTTTGTGTCCTGCGAACTGAAATATATTAGTTACCGTTTTTTGGTTATGGGTTTAAAGCACTTTTCTTTCATTAAAAAAAAAAACCTAATTTCTTCGTTTCTGTGAAATTTGACATAACCAATGGTGCAAAAAAATTATTTCTCAGGTAAAAATCTACTTCTTATTTTAATTTGTAATTCAATACTTTTGTTTTGTGCAACTTGATAAAAGTCTGACAGTAGTATTTAATATTACTTCAAACATAAGAGTCCTATATAAAATTTTGATGAAGTTGTGGCTTACCATTTAACAGGTTTTTTTTAATTGCAGCCCCCGGCCTCGTGTAAGTTGGAAACCCCTGCTATAGAACATTCGAATTTCATTTTTGACTGTGATAGAATATTTATTTATTTTTTTTCCGTTAGGTTATTTTTTAAACTATTTTTTTTTAACCAAATACTTAAGCATTTCAGTTAAAAGTATTAATAATTTATGTTTTAAAAGAAGTGATTATGTAAAGAAGTTTATGGCTAAAAGATTTATTGAAACTAAAATAAATATCTTGTAATTGAATAATATAAATACACCTTCTAATTGTTATTATGAGAGAGTTTATGAGTTTTCAGAGATGAATTTCATCAACATTAGTGAAATGTAGTTAATTGGTGTGTAATGTAAAGTAACTGCAAATATGTAATTGGTAATATTTAAAATATACTGAAATAACATTTTGTTAAGCCTCTGTTTGTTGTCTTATTAATTTTAAGTATAATTGCATTGAATGTGATATTTTAGTTATATCCTTGCACATCTAGATACAAGTGAAATTTGGTACTGATTTATTATATTTTACTATGAAATAGATATACGTGTTTCATTTCCAAAAAAAATTGCATATATATATTATTATTATTACACTCGAAGAACTAATAGTTTTCAGTTAAAATTAAGATGTGATGTTTATTACTAACGATTATGGCATAAATCTTTTTTTTTGGGTCACTTGTTAAATAAATTAATTGCTATTTCAAATCAATATGCGAAAAAAAAGTTGTTTTTTTGCCTTCGCTTAAGTTACGACATTTTATTTATCTTTTAATTGTTGACCTATTATTATTTTCTCTTTAGGTTAAAGAAGCTTGTCAGCCCAGATTTTCATAAACTTTTTTTTTTCTAGAAAGTAATGAAAAACAAGATTGTTGTGATAAACTAAGCATTGATCAGTTTGCATTGTAGAGTTATTTATTTTCATAAAAATTTAATTAACTATTATGAAAATACTGTTTTTCATTTCAGTATTTTCTAGTAAGTTTTTTTTCATTATTTTGACTACATGAAATGGTATGAGTTTATTTTTACTCTATCATATTAAAAAAGAAATTCTAAAAAAAAAAAAAATTGTAACTTAGGCTTTAGAAAAATTAGGTTGCTTATAATAAAAGTTTTATGTTTAACTTTGCATAAAAATAATGATATTTTAAATTCCTAAAAAAAATATTTTTTTTATTAGGGACCTGGCTTATATTATGTGGATAGTGATGGAAATCGTTTTCCTGGTAATGTTTTTGCTGTTGGTTCAGGAGGTACTTATGCTTACAGTGTTTTAGATAGTGGATACAGTTGGGATTTGGAGGATAAAGAGGCTCAAGAATTAGGTCGTAGAGCAATTTATCATGCTACTCATAGAGATGCATACAGTGGTAATTTGATTAGAGGTAAGTGCATCTTTAAGAATTATTTTATTGTATTTAACAAAGTATGTTAATACTGTCAAAGTTAATGCTATGTATCATAAAATATAGTGTGTGTTTAAAAAAAATAATACTTTGTTTGTAAAAGTCACTTTGCTTTTATGTCCAAGTGTTAATCATTTTCATTAAGCCATATTTTATTTTCAATATTTATTTAGTTATGTAGCAACCATAGTGCCATCTGAAGAGTCAGTAGATGCTCAGACTTTGAACTGAATGGACCTTTTTTTCTCTCCTTGTCATTCTTATTTAAATTGTACAAAACACGACTTTGCTGTAGAAACACTGTAATCCAATCGTGTATTGTTGTGCAGGAAAAGGGTTTTCCAAGGAACATGTTGTTAAGCGGAAAATGGTTTTCCACCTGAAAATATTATTAGCAGACGCGCAAACTAAATTTGAATAGAAGACGCTGTGTGGCGATGTGGCCCTAGCTAGATCTCGGGGGTTTAAATAAAGAACAGCTTAGTGCCAAACATTTTTATTAATTTGAAAATAGCACACGGACAAATATAGATTTGAATAATTATGAGAAGAAGAAAAATAGGTCCATTCAGTTCAAAGTCTGAGCATCTACTGCCTGTTCAGATGGCGATGTGGTTGCTACAGAAGCCTAAGTCAAAATAGCAGAGTTTTTCTATCCAAGTGTTACTTATTTTGATAAAACCATATTCTATTTTCACTATCTGTGTTGATAAATAGATATCCAAAATAAGTTATAAAATAATATATATGTAACTCAAATAAATTATTACATTTTTTTTTCACACCAATAAATTGTTTGGTATGCATTTCAAAATATTGAACTTACTTCTTCTTTTCAGTAAAAACCTGCTTTTTTAAGTGATATAAATGCAGGAAAGAACTTCATTTTCAAACTTAGGTATTTTACAAAATATAATAAATTAAAAATATGTTTCTTTGTCCATAAGTCAAATAGAGCTAATTAACATTATTAGATAAAACTATATATTTCTATTTCTTAAACTTTAGTAACTTAATTTGTTTTGAAAGATTGTTCTATATTTTTGTATTTAAAAAAACCTTTTTTTTTCTCCCCTAGCTGCTTGTACTGTTTTAGTTAAGCTTGTTTTTTTTTTTTTTAAATGTTAATCTTAAATTTTCCTAACTTTTACTTCTAGTTTATCATGTTACTGAGACTGGTTGGAAGGCAATAAGCGTGGAAGATGCTGCTGATTTGCATTATAAATATCAAGAAGAGAAGATGATGTAGTTTTATATTACAATATTTTTGGCGTTTTGTATTTAAATATTAACATGTATCAAAAATAAATTTGTCCACATAATACTGCATTGCTAATTTATTGCCCAATAATCTTGAGCGTAAAACTAACTTTTCTATCTTCTGTAAAATCTATACATTTTGATAAATTACTTCATGCTACCTATTGTTAGAAGTTATATATATAAATATCTGATACTAAATAATGTAAATAAAATGCATATAGAATTAAATTTGTTTATAAGGAGACTATAAGTTCTCTGGTCAAACCGAAGTAAGCCAAAATTATAAAAAATTAAAGCTTTAGTGCATGGAAATTATTTAAAAACAGCTTGCATTTTGTAAATCGTATTTACACTAATTAAAATAATGATATGGACTTTTTTTTATTTATCTTTGGCAATTGTCCCTACGTATAACAAACCTGCCATGAAATACATTATCATTAACACATATTTATTCCTAGTTTTTTCCTTCCTATAATTCAGACTTCGCAATCTTGAAATATTTAGTTAGGAACATGCACCCAGATACAAGAGATACAGATAATAAATAAAACTTCTATTCTATGGTTTGCATATCAGCAACTTTAGTTATTACAACTGAGTGATTCATGGCAAAACATAGGGATTTTCATAGCAAAAGTGAGGAACAAAGAGGAAGAAAAATCTTCAGAAACAGTTGATTTTTTTTTTCCCCTTAAAGAATTTTAAGAAAATTTCTTAATAAATTTTAGTCTTGTTCATAATGACAGGGTTTATTAGGCTCAATAATAATGAATCAATTATTAAAACTTTCTTTGTAAAAACCAAAATCTTGTTGCAAAACAAACTAATTCGACTAATTTTTATCTGACGTAAGACCTATCAGCTAGATAAAAACTTGTGTTATAGGATGAGATTGCTGAATCATAAGTGCAAAAAATAATGCAAACATTACCTCATAACAACTACCAAGACATGCCCCCACATAAAGATACTTGTGCTAAACTAATTAAAGATATTTATGCTAAAACTAAATTTGAGAAGGAGAAATAAATTATGCACATCAACTAAAGAAAACTACTTCTATCTGTACTTAAAGGCTGTGTTTATCAAAGTAAAATGCTGGCCCAAATTCTTAAATGAATTGAAATGACTGAATATTATGCAAGTAAGGACTGGATTTGGCTTGTTCCCCCTATTTTTTTGTTTTTAGAAAGTTTCTTGATTGAGGGTGAGTTCCTTAAAAAAAAAATAACAAAATAATTTTTACTTAGTTTATTGTTTGCTTGAATATTTAAATAAATATTTCAGTTATAATAAAAAAAATTAAGTTTGAGTATCGCTATACTTGATCGATACAATTTTTCAGTCTTACAAAAATATTAAAAACAAAATGTTGTTCTTTTATCACCTAGAATGTGACCATGCATCAAGGATAGAGCATCTTAGAGAGACAAGAAGGGATGAGTACAAGGCAAGAGGAATGATTTCATTAATATATTAGTTCTTTTATTATAAATTCTCTCTTTTGTTTAAAATGGTACCCTATAAGGAGAGGGAATCATTTTAAAAGAAAATAATAGGATATGGACAAGAAAGTTACCGCATATGGAAAAGATCCCATTTTTTTAAAGAGAAAGTTGCAGTTTTTACAAAAACCAGGAAAATTCTTATATCATACCTAAAAAATAGCCAATCTTAATTGTTATTGATTTGTTCAAATTTAATCATTCAAACATTTATTACAATAATTTTATAAAATTCCACTTTTTAGTGAAACTTTTCTCTGTTTCCATTCCCATTCTATTTTATGTTTTTGCTCACAGAATCTAAGATTTGACATTACAAATAAAAAAAAATCAGTTTTCTGATGGAATAGATAAAATATGATTTTAACTTCCATTGAAATTCACCAAATATACCTTTAAGAGTCAGGGAATTTTTTTTTTTTTTGAAATTCAGTGGGAACCCTGAGCCAAATATTTGGTTACTATTTATAACTTGTTTTGTTAAAATGTAAACTTTTTTTTTTTTTAGGTTTTAGATTGTTACACTGTTATTTTTATTTCTTAAGGATAAACAGATTGAAAAACTGAGTCAAATCCAATTAAAATGAAAAAAAAAATTTTATAGTCTATTAAAATAAAATTTAAGCTTAGACTTAAAATAGAAGCTTAGACTTAATCATTTTGTTCGGTTAACATTGCAACTTAAAATACTGTTGTTTTTTTAAATTTCTATTCAACTTTTGGTTACTTTAAAATTAGTTAATGTTTTTCGCCTGATTATTTACTAATATTATGAGAAGTTAATTCCTAATAACAGTTTTGGCTGGAAATAATTATAAAAGTAAATATAACATATTTACTGTTTAGTAATAATTTCAAAATGGTTAAGTTACATATCGTTTTTAATGTGTTTTTCTTAAAATGCTTTTTTTTTTATTAAACATTACGTAATAAGGTTGTATTACAGGATTATTTTATAATAAAAGAATACCGCTTTTAGATATAAACTTTTAATTTGCTATAAAAATAAAATATCAAATCATAACAATAGTAGAGAATAATATCTGTTAATAAAGGATGACAAAGAAATATTACAAGTAAATGACGAAAAAATAAGGAACCTTACCAATTTTCTAGCCATAGAAATGTGCTGACAACTTTGAAAAATCGTTTTAGACTATTTTTTTTCATGTTAGACTTAGAAGTTGGGCAGCTCCAAAGGTCTACTGTACCCAAACCCTAAATCATGATTAACAAGAAAGCTTTATAGCTGAAATGAAGTTCAGCAAACACATGACAAGGAACGTCTGGCAGTTCCCATTCCTTAATTCAATGTTGCCCTAAATGCTCAAATCTTCAAACAGAATAGAACGGACAATCACAAAGTATACGTCGTCAAATGTCCTCTTCAAGATGACAACCTCGACAAATAGGATTAGATTCAATGCCCATTATGAATAGGTGTCTCCTGAGGGTGCAGTATCCAGTGAGAAGACAACTATCTTCCTCAAACTGCTCCTGTTTAGCTTAAGGAGCTCTAACACTAGGACAGTCACGATACAGCTCTTTAGCTTGTCTCTGACCATCCGAGTTGCGCCATCAGATACCTTCCAATCAGTAATGTATTACATAAAGTAGAAATAGAATTACATAAAGCAAGGCCAATGACTTCCCTTCTGTTGCTCGTAACAAAGGTAGGTTCATAACCTTAACCTTTATTAAGGACATATAAGTTATAGAATAAGATATGCTCCATTAATACATCCCCCAGCGGGTTACAATCACTTCTACTGCACACTGTGTGGTGAGCATTTGCGTCGCAGCCGAAGATGACCTAGGCCAGTATGTACATAGGCCAATTATTACTTTGGCAACATCAGCCAGTGGGTCTTTCTCCTCATTAGGAAGATAGGCAAAAACAATGACAAAGTCAGAATCTGTTTCTTTGTCATAGAATTTAAGCTTACCAGCAACAAAAACTCGGTGGAGGAAGTTGACAAGGTTAAGAGCATTTAACTGTTAAGGGCACCTAGCCAATATGCAGGCCCTGGGAGGATCACAACGGGTATCATACAAAGTATTGAAACCCTTCACGTTGAGGCCCATAATTCTACCCTTTCGGGTCTAAGGCTATTGTATAAGAGCAATATCTTAATTTTCCATCGTTCAGCCCTATAGCTCAGAAGCTAGAGGCAGCAACGCTATGATGGGGAATCAGAGCCGGATTATACCTTTCGTAGGCCCTAGGCATAGCCAATTTTCGTAGGCCCTAGGCAATTAAAGANGCGCTGGACCAAAAGTAATGAAATAGATGATAATTTTGAAAGTTCGAATGTTAGATCGAATACTTTTTAATTTTATATAATATTAGCTCTAATATTAGAAGATAGGATTCAATAGTATTGCGTTTTCTAGCACGGCAGTATTATACTGCATCTTTCTAATATTAGATCATATCTTTTTGCTACCTGGGGCACCTATCCAATATGCAGGCCCTGGGAGGATCACAACGGGCATCATAAAAAGTATTGAAACCCTTCACGTTGAGGCCCATAATTCTACCCTTTCGAGTCTAAGGCTATTGTATATATCTTAATTTTCCATCGTTCAGCCGTATAGCTCAGAAACTAGAGGCAGCAACGCTATGATGGGGAATAATTTGACCAACCTTGATTCTTATTGTTGCCTCGATTGGTTACAGATTAGGAAAACCAGAATGGCAACCACCTATCCTGGTTGGATTTAGAAGAAAAATCTTCCCTTAACAGCCTTATTGCTTCGTCAATACCAAGCATAGATGCTGGTGAATCAGGTCGTAAAGTTATACATGACCCAGAGTTCAACCCCTGCCCTGATAAATCAAGAGCTCCAATTGAACTTACCTTGGAATCAGGTGAATTTACCCTCCATCGTGCCTCCTCCTGATCCATTTCCTCAGACTAATGTCCTTCAGGTGCGACAGAGAGGACATCCGATGTTATTGGAGCCTCTGCTGCCCTCGTCTTTTTAGAATCGTGGATGATCTTACAGACTCCACGATCTACATCAGTGAAAGCTCCATAGTTGGCTCTCGCTATGTCCTCCACATCATCAGGCTCAACCTTAAAGGTCCATCTAGAGGTGCCAGATCCGACAGCATTCTGCAGAACCCTCCATCTCATTGACTTCAACCCCGGGTTAAGTCTCTAGAGAAGGCTTAAGATGGTGCCTTGATCGGAGAACTTTTCCTTGGTCTTGAAGGCCACCATCACAGTCTTGGGCAACTTATCAGCGCCTCGAACTCTAAGCGTGATGTCACCCAAGGATTTTTCATTAAATCCACGTTACTACCGTGTAATCATTACACTGGAAAATCAGAGCCCCTCTCAGTGGGTTATTACTGGAGTTCTCAGGCGCTCTTTCGCCAAAAGGAATGGCATTAGTCAGCTCTAACATCCTCCTGAGAATGGTATCAGAATCTCCCGTAGAAAGCTTGTCAGAAGGAAAGTCCCTCCTGACAATAGCAATCTTGACTGATTTAGTTGCACTCGCAAAAGAAACTCCAGATTGTAGGCTCCCAGTTGGGTCGCCCACTCCAGTTTGACTATCCCTACAAAGAAGGACCACTTCTCTGGATTAGGCTCTCCTCCCTGGAGCAATATCCTCTCTGGGCTCCTTTCCAATTTGGGTTGGCACATTAGAGGAGGACGTTGCATCAGAAGGCCTTGGCTTCTTAGCTCCGCCACTTCTCTCAGCTTTTTCTTAAGTTTCCTTCGCTGGTTCTTGGATAGTTCAGCGGTGCCAGGCTAACTGTCCCCTGAGTGTCTCTGGCCGGAACCAGAGACTCCAACAGAAGCAGGTCCTGTGCTTTTGGACACCTCCTCACCAGCAATACTAGCAAGAAGCTGCAAAGCAGTGGTATTAGCACTGGGCTCACTCGAGGGCTAATCACGTGCTACTGGAGATTATAGTGATATTTTAGAACAGGAATCTCTGTCTAATTCTTGCGAGCATTCCTTGTTGACCGGCACGATGGATGATGCCGTATCACAAACTTTACTTAAGTCCATCATAGTGTTTGCCTGCCATTTAGTTATCTAATGAGAGGTATCCAGAGGGCACCACGTGGAGGCGGCAGGCATTACTCCTCCCTCCCTCTTGTGACACACTAAGAACTAATATATGAAACATCTTAGTTCGAAAATTATAAATCCTCTGAAGCACAATTGTACTCATCCTATGAAAATTTTTATCAAATATTTATTTCAATGAATTTAAAAAATATTAAATTAAGACTTATGGAAAAAAAGTGGAACAATTTAATATTTCGATATTATAAGAGTCTTGTTTTTTACTTGGGATAGAACCTAATTTAACATGACGCATGTCATGGTTAAGCAAACTCTAATTCAGCTCAGCATTTTAGTGTTAATTTTTTTATTATATACTCTTATAAATGAAAAATTTTATTCATAGAACGAGAAAAAAATTGGAGGGGTTTTGAATTTTTAGCTAGATTAGCTCACAACTGAATATATTATGCGTGTCTAGCAGCGAAATATAAAACTTGTTCGAATAAATTTTTCAATATTTTCTCCAAATTTCTTTATTTACTTTTTTTTTACGTATGAAGAAAATTGCAAAATTTTTTACATAATAATTTCATTTTATACAAACTGATAACTTTTTATAAAGGAAGTAGCTTGATTTAATTTCTAATTTAAATCACTGTAATCAATTTATATATTTAAAAAAATGCATTATTAGTTATCATGATAAAAGTTAGGCACTTTTAATGAAAATTTCATTAATAATAACAATAATTTTGTATAAAACAAAAAAATATTTGTAAGGTTTAAGGAACCCCATGGTTCTATAAAGAATAGTTACTTCACTTTTCAGATGCATGCTCTTAAAATAAATTGAATAAATATCAGTTTATGTATCAAGTTAATTTTTCTTTTATTATTGAAAGGTCTTGTTCTAAAGACAATTATTTTGCTTTTAAAGCAAAACCTAATGATCTTAAATTTTGAAAAACCCACCTTGGAAAGGAGTTTCTTTAAGTGGGCCCACTAGAACAAACCCAACCTGGGTGAGCAAAATTTGCCTTAAATCTACTTTGAAAAAGCCTAATAATTAAAACAATTGTATCAGTACTTGCATTACAACGAATTTGTTTTCTTATTTTTTTTAAAGGTAAATAATTAGCACTGTCACTAAATTTTTCAACAAAAAAAAAATCCTTATTTTTTCCAAAAGAAAGTCTTTAATTTTTGCCCTGTATAATGACTAAAAAATTTCCTTTCTCTAAAATATTTTAGATATTTCTCTTTAACAGTTGGCATAAAATTTATAAGATTACTGCATTTTTCTTTCTCATGTTGAAAGCTATGTTGTTGGATGATGTGTTTCTGAAAAGCAATATTACTTTTGTACATTTTTATTTTGCTGCTCGTCCATATTTTTAAAAACGACAATTTGTTCAGCAGTTTTTCATATATATTTTAAATCTAATGGTTTGTTTTTTTATAATGCATAATTTTTTCCTTTGAAATATAATTCGTTAAAAAAAAATGTCTGGAAAACATAATATTGTTTTCCATAATTGTGTTAATGAACCTGTTTTCTTCCCTTTTTTTTTGTTATATTGATCTTTTACTTTTGATCAAAAAAAATTTATCCTTACATATTAAAGTTTTGAATTATTATTTAATATAACTATAATCAATTTTTTACTTATAATTTAATAGAACTAATAATTTCTTACTAAATTAAGTTTTTAAAACAATTATTTTCATGTTATGTTATTATATTAACATAAAAGTTTCTTCCCTCTAATATTCTGCTTTAATTTTTTAACTTCTCGTTTTTTGGAAGCAAAAGTTTAAATATGCTTGTTACTTTAATCAACTGGTGCATCTTAAAAAAAATTATGGTATGCAACAAATACTATAGAACCTCTTTCATTTAAATAATTTTGTCAACCCAAATCTATTAGAATTTTTTTTAAAGAAAATTATTAATTAAAATCAAGTGGCTGCTTTAGATTTGTTTAAGTTTGAAAGTTTAATTTTCAGTATTTGATTCATCTTTTCATTATTACAAAAACTATTTATTTTGACCATTATAGCTTCTACTTATGCTAAAAGAAAGCTTGGTATGTGACCTGTGTAAAAAAAAAAACATTAACTTAGTACAAATGGAATCTAGAGAATACCTTTCAGGGTTTAAGGAGGAATATGAATAAATAAGACTGTTCAGAATTAGATGGAGTATTGTTTAGAAAAAACCTTGATTTTCACAGTTTATTGATTAAAAATATTACCTCTGTAACTACAATATTTTGATGTGCCCGAAGTAGGTCAGAATCTCATTACTTCAGATAATTAAGTTTAGTCAACTTACTTTTTACTTAATTACCTTAGCTTTAAAGAGTAGTGATTAAAATTGCAATAATGTTATACAAGAAAATGTAATTGGTATCAATTTATCTTGACTAATTTTAATTAAATTTGAGTTGTCAGATAAGTTAAAAAGCCTTTTTTCTTTCAGTATAAAAATATTTTAAAAATGAAGAAAAGTCCGAACTGTCTCTTTCTGAATTTCAAGCTGGCAGATGTCTTGCAACACAATTTTTTTTTTCTGTGTCATTCAAAGAGAAAATAAAACATCGTATCAAAAAAATACAATTTCTTTCCAGAATTTTCCCAGAGTAGTAAACTTAGAGGATTAAAAAAAAATCATTGTTATTTTTTATTAAATACATCTTTGTCATTAATAGAACATATAATGCAGCATAACTGCTTTGTCACAATGATTATACTATGATGCAGGGTTGGCAAGTTTTTTACCTCATAACCATGGAATAAACTGCGGGATGAAAAACCTAAAAAACCGTGTTTATAAATTGGTGTAATTGTTATTTATTATTCATATTTTAAATAAAACATTGCAGGTAATATTTAAAATCGAATATTAAGTACAACTTTTCTTCTAAAATTTACCATATCTTTAAGAGCAAATATCTTGGAAAAAGTATTTTCCTATAATTACATTTCAATTATATAAATATATTTCAAATACAAATGGAATATTCCTATAAATATATTTCAAATACAGGTAAACAAAAGATCCGCTGGAAACTCTTTAATTGTGAAGTTGCTTCAAAGAAGACATTTTAATAATGGAAAGAAAAAAAAAACTTAATTACATTAAAAAACTACAAGAGATGGAGATTGCTCATTAGTCTTTATTATATTAAAATTCATTTATATTTTTTAGACAATTAGTCCTCAGTTATTCCATTGCTAAAATTTTATAGAGCTGTAAAACTTTACAAAAAAGTGCAAAAAAATATATAAAACTAAAATAATAGTTGATATTATTACATTATACACTTGATGCTATTACACTATGTTTTTTATTTTATTCAGTCTATTTAAAAAATACTTCAAAGTGAGAGCTCTCAAGTAAAATAAACAATGAAAGAAAATATGAACATTAAATGGAAATTTTTTTAATTTTTTTTTTTTTTACCCAAAACAATTTTTATCCAACATTTGTTAATGATATGTTGTTTTTAAAGCATTTATTTATATTTGTGTAGATTTATATATTTATTTTATGTTTAAAAAATGCAATAAAAACTTCACTTTATCCTGAGTTTTTGATGTTTTTACCAGTTTGACACTTATGTTAAAAAATCTAACCATGCTACATAGTAAAAGAAAAAAATTAATTTCAACACGGATAACAAACAACAAGTGCTACATCAATTAATATAAGGTATTAATTTTAATGAATAATTGATAATAATTACAAATTCATTCCATGGCTTTTAACTTTCCGGTTTTTTCATACAATTTCCATCGGGATACATCTTTCTAAATGCTTCAATGAGAGAAGGATCAATTAAGCGTACACCATCTACTTGGTTTCCCAAAGTTATCCAGTTAGGTTGGATGTTGTGAGGTCGACCAAAAAGTTCGATTTTCCGTGTACCGGGGGATAATCTTTCTATGATGCCATATATTTCATCTGGTTTGTGACTTGTTGCTCGTACCTCAGCAACAATGACATCGCAATCTAAACCTCTATTAATTTCTTTAGGGCTACCTTTAACACCAACTAAACAATGTTCTTTTCCATGGTTAAGCCAATGTCCCGTTCTTCCAGTCCTGATGATACGCTGCAGTTGATTTGTTTTCACCCAGATAATTTCATCACATCTTTCATACCCCCACAATTGTAAGCATTCTCTACCCAATTCCATAGCTCGACCAGTAACCCACAAAAAAATCAGGCCCTCATCTTGCAAGCTTGGAATGTTTAAATGTCTCATTTCATCATCAGACATAGTACCGTAAGGCAACTCCATATGAATATCCCATGGAGGATCGGCCATTACGACAGCAAACTTCCCTAATATGGACATGTCAAAATATCTCAAATCTGACTGTATCCACTGAGGAGGGAAAAGTACCAACTTATTTCCGTCATGAGAGATTGAATCACTCTTATCAATTTTTATGACTTTAGATATTTGAGTCATAGTTGAATAATCTACTTCATAATGAACATATTTACATGTATCCATATGAAAACAGGTATTCAAAAAAGAACAGTCACCTAAAGATTCATCAGTATGTTTTTGAATAATCTTTTTAAAATGAAGTTTATTACATGGCTGATTTGCATCTGACACTTTAGTGCATTCATCTTTTGTGCCATGAGGACAAAATTCTTGAACTTGGGCACCTCCTTGTGATCTAAACTGTTCAACAAGAGAACGTTCTTTGGCAGTAGGTTTACTTAATAGTTCTAAAATTTCTTCTCCAACTTTTTTAGTTTCTTTTTCTCTAGCGGACGGTAGAGATAGCAAATCTTCTATAGTGTCTGTGTTTCGATTGTTCTTGGCTACATCTTTATTTTTACAGATGATTTTGGTTTTAGGTTCATCCTCTAATGTTTCTTCAGCTTTCCTCTTCTCTGCACCATGAATCTTACTTATAGACGGATCTTGAGCACATATATCATTAGCTAAAGCCTGAAGTTTGGTATGCTCTGCAGAAGAAACTAATAAGCAGTTTTTACCTTCATTAGTGGAACTTTCTGTAATAGTAATAAGTTCTTGTGTTGCAAATTTCTGTAGCAAATTCTCCACCACTAAATGTGGCACATCTTTGTTTAATGATTTAGTAATAGTAGTCACTAAATTTCTTGAATCTGTAGGCAAATTAATAGCATCACATAAACACATAAGTAATTTGTATTCAACTAAAGGATCAGCTTTAAGTTCCTGTGCTGCATTATTTTCTTCTTTAGCAATAAGAGTAGGGCTATTACTTCTAGGACTACCTACATTTAACTCATTGGTTATACTCAGAACTAAATCTTCCCTCTCTTTCTTGCGCCTTTGTAATCTTTCACGTAAGCTACTTTGCTTAGATTTGAACGCCTGAATGTCACTCCATGTGTCTGACATCCTGAAACATGCATAAAATACAGTTTTTAGCTAAACAATTCAACAACATACTAAAACATTTCTTTATCAGATTGATTAAACTGTATTAAGTAAAAGTATCTGGATTAAGATTTACAAAACATGAAGAGTTTTAAATTGAATAATTTCATTAACAGTAGCAAAACTAGACCTTATTTAAGTAAATTTCATTTTGTGCATAATTTCAGCATTGTAAAAAATTAAAAAATAATAATAATCAGCTTAAAATATTTTAAAGATTGTAATGGAATAAAAATAAAAATCTTGTATTAAAATAAATTAAAAAGTTTTTAAAACTAGGCACAGTTCCTTTCATGACTTTATTGCATATTCAACTTGGGATTATAATGTAAATATGTGTAAAATCCTTAATTTTTCACACTCCCTGTTTTTAATACAAACTAAATTTATTACCAAGCTCATACAAGTACAGGGTGAAAATTATAGCCATTATAAATTATAGAAACAATTATGAAGACATTAATTACATCCATAAAATGGTTTTCACCGTTGTGCAAAACAACATAAGAATTATATAAATTACTATCAAACAAATAATTTATAAGATAATACAAAATTTAAATTCTATATGTTTTGCAATTTTCTGCATGCTTAAAAAATATATTCAAATTATAAATGCAACAAAATTATATTTAAAAAAAGTTTACAAAAAAAAATTCTGAGAAACAAGTTAAGCTGCATACTGAGGGGATCTAAAAATTTGCTAGTGACGACTTAATAAGTTTTGCATCTTTTTTTTGACTAAACTTAATAAAACTCATTATAATGTAATTACTTTTAAACATAGGACATTTTAAAAAAAATGACAGTATATTGAATAAAAATGTGGGGGAGGATTAGGAACAACACCAGCTCTTAAATTTCTGATAATAAAGTTGAAAATTTTAATTTAATACTAACATTGAGTAGTTAGTGTATACACTGGATTTGTAGGTCTTAATGTTAAATTTTTAGCCCTGCAATATTGAATTTAATCCAGAAGACATGGATCAAGCATTAGGTCAAAGCCAATTTTTTATGATGTCTTTTTCACTGACACTAACTTTTAACCTGACAGCAAATTATAAGTTTATAGAAATATAGTATAGAAATATCTCCGATAATTGAAATAATTGGGTAGTTTGATGCATTTTTTAAACAAAGAAATTTCTTAAAAAAGCATCAATCTGGAAAGATTCTCACTAATTATTCTATAAAATTTGTTTTAACATAATATCTTTTCAAGATATGACAGATAAGTAACCTAAGTAATTATTACTTTAATTTTGCTTCCTTTATTTAAACTATCAATTCAAAATTGTTGCTGAACTATAGTCATCCACACAAGAAATTTTATACTTAAATCTCCGTTTAACAGCTTTTAAAAAATAAATATTTTTTTATAACTTATAACGATTGCATTTGTTTACACCGGTACCACTAAACAGAAACATCAATTATCAACAGATAGCTTCAGTTTAATGCGTAGAAAATGTTTCATCAATGCAAACCCTGCTGAATTTTAAACTGAAAAAACTGTAAGAACTCAATCTTGGTATATAGTATAAGCAAGTATGCCAAGATGTGTTCGCAAGGTGAGTTTAATTAAACTGAGTGTTGTCTTTCAGCACAGAAAATGGTCTTGTTCCAGAAGTTTAGGATTAAATATTTTGATGTATGTTAAATGCTCAATATATTTGATTGATCCATCTCAAAAATTCTAGTAATCATTTAATTTTCTCGTGTGCTTGAATTTCTTTCGTAATTTAATGGCCAGTTGTAGCAAAGAGAAGAAAAGTTCATCAAAGCACAAATCGAAAAAAAGAGATAAAAATATTGAACAAGTTCAAGTCTTAAAACATTACGACACTTTGTAAGCGAAATATATTATATCATGTTTTTATACAACTTATTATATGATGTTTTATTGAGTTATTTGCATGAACTATGTGTGTATTACTAGGAATGAATTATTTAAAAAATTGTTTATTATGTTTTATTTTATCTCACTCTAAAATTTACAATATACTTGTATTTTCCCTTTCGATATGACTACAGATATCCTTTAAACTACTAGCCCCATGAAACATATTTATAAAGGGAACTTTTTTTTAGTAGAAACTGAAAAATTATTTTACTAACTACTGATATTATTTTATTAAATAAGTGATATTTATGTACATTATTTTAGGATTCAGAATAGGTGACTTTTTCATTTTAACACACTTGCTGGAAAGATGGGGTTTTTTTCAAGTAGGGCACAATCTGAAAAGGGCTAGGCTCATTTTGGCGAACCTTGGCTTTAATAAGATTTAAAAATATCATTATGATTGTCTTATTAACTTTTAAAACTTTTCGAATTTGACAGTTATAATCAAGCACCACCTGGCTTAGTTAAGGAAGAGGAAGAGCATCCAGAAGATTGTATTCCTGATTTGCCTGAAAATAAAGATGCCAGAGAATTTTTAGCCAAAGCTCCATCAAAAGGATTATGGATGCCTTTGGGAAAAGAGGTTAAAGTTATGAAATGTAAGTAATAGTTCAAAAAATTTTTTAAAACTTCTATCTTTTTTTTTATAATTATTAAAACAGGTTTCATGATTTTGTTATACATTTTTAAGGTTGGCGTTGCAAAACCTATGGACACAGAACAGGAGATAGAGAATGCCCCTTGTTTGTTAGCGGAAATGCCCAGATTGAAAAATTTCGATTTGTAAGCCATTTTTTGTTTTTTTTTGTTTTATTCTTTTCATTTGGCTTCTTAAAAAAATTCTTAGATATCTTGCATTCTAATACTGTTATACTGTGCACTAGAAATGAGTTAGGGCTCGTCTTTGGAGGCCCAAGTTCAAAGAATGTTTATCCGATCCCTGAGAATGCTTATTTGAGCCCAAGATACAGGGATTACTTAAAGCCGAAGTCCGCCCAAGCCATATGTTAATTATATTCCACATTTTGCATTCGCAAAACAATACCACTGATAGCTGTAATTTTTTATGTCTTATAAATTTTAAAATTTTTATATTTGACTGAATCAAGCATTTGTTTAAAAATAGTAAAACAGTTAATGAAAATTTTATCATTGAGTCCGAACTTGGAACCTTTTTTCAGTAAACAAGCACAAGTCCACATCGGTCTCAGGCAAAAACAGTCTCATATCTATTATGCACTATACTTTTTGATTAGTTCTTATTATTTTCAGGTAAGATTGTTTATTGTAGGACCCATTCTTTAATGTGAATATGTATGTTTAATCTATTATCTTAATCCCTTGAAAAAAACATAAATACTTTTTTTGAAGACTGTAAATTATTAAGTTTAATATGCTAAAAATTATTTTTTTTAATGAGTTAATGAGCGGTTGAAAACTATATATAGATTTTTTAATATGTTAAAAAGACTAGCTATATAGCTAGTTAGACAATATCTAGCTTTCCAATTTTCAAAATACTGTACTTGTTGTGTAGCAATATTGAGTTAATGTTAATTTAGTGTAATGACTAGTTTGTTGCTTGTGAAAACATGTGAAAAATGTTTGCTCAAGGAAAAATAAGATGTATTATTCACTTTCATAAATTTTAATCACATTAAAAAAATTTTCATGAATTAATAAGTATTAATTGATAAGTTACTTATTTTATTAAAAATTTAAACTATATTTAAAAATATATCAGTACTTTAATTTTCATTGAACTCTTTCAAGTTGCCTTTTTCAATAATGTTTTGTAAATCAATATTAAAAATTGTAAAGACAATTGAAAAAAAGTCAAATATATCCTGCCTTAAAATTTGGTTTCTTTGAAAGAAAAGAAAAGAAACATTCCTTTATAGGAATTCTGGGCAGTAAAATTTTTGTGCTATAAAGAAAAACATTTTCTAATTCATTAAATTAATCTGACAAAATCTTGTGAAAATGGCAAATGTATTTCATGAAAAGGAGCTTTAAATATCTATAGACATTCTTTTTTTCTTTTTCTCTATAGATTTAGTTTCCAAGTTTCAAGATCTTGTGTGCCATATTTACCTATAGAATGCTTGTTTTCATGTATTGAGTTAATTAACAACTGTTAATATAATAAGATTAAAATCAGAATTTTGTATTAAACATATTCTTTAATTATATTTTGTGTTAATAAAATTTAATTCATTTTTAAATCAATAAAATAAATATCTACCAGCCCTTTCTCAAAAGAAAAATTGTTTTTTATTGCAGTGCAAGTAAATTTAACTGTTTCTTTTTTTATTTCTTTTATTCTTCTGGTGTGACTGCTTTTTTTTCCCTTAAAAAAGGGGGGGGGGGGAAGGAAAGGAAAATAGTTGAATTTACTGAAACCCAGCTAAAGGAAAAGTAGTAGTATTTATAATTATATAAAAAATGTATTGCAATTTTTTCAAAGTCATATTTNTTGATTTAAATATAAGGGTTAGTGTGACTGCTTTTTTTTTCCCTTAAAAAAAAAAAGAAAAAAAAAAGGGAAGGAAGGAAAGGAAAATAGTTGAATTTACTGAAACCCAGCTAAAGGAAAAGTAGTAGTATTTATAATTATATAAAAAATGTATTGCAATTTTTTCAAAGTCATATTTTATTTTAGTTGTAAAACTGTCTTTTAAGTAGTTTTTTTTTAAAAATTGTTACTTTTGTTGATATTATGAATATCTTTATCTATGTATCTTTATATATTTTTATCTATATTTGTCATTTCTATAAATATTTTTTTAATTTCTAGATTCATGAAGATCCAATGCATAATTTTATATCTGAGAAGAGAAAAGCTGAAAAATTAGAAAGGTTTGTCATTAAATTGTACTATTTTTTTTATTAACTTAATTTATATTTCAAACATTGTTGATCTTTAGGAAATTAAAAAACTGAAGAAAAGAAAAAAACGAACATATTTTGTTGAACCAAACCATATGTTTTTATGTATAATTCAAAACATGATATATTAACAAAACAAAAAAAAGATTCCACAAGAAATTTTAATTTAAAATTACTTGTATAGTCTTCGTAATATACTGTTTAATATTTTTTTTTTTAAAAACTGTGTTAGATCTTTCTTTAAATTATAAATTTTTTTCTTAAGAATATGCTATCTGGGCATCATTATTAATATAATATACACATTACTTTTTGTGTTATTTCTCTGTTTCAGGAAAGCATATTATTTATTTAGCTTTAAAAATCTTAGACTACTGAGTTCATCCAATGTCTATCGACAATCTTGAAACAGCATCAGTCCTGCTTGCTTGATATTGCACTACCAAAAAATTCTGTATTCTATTCAAAGTATTCGGTAGTTTTCTCATGATTATTAATCTTTTATGCTCAAGCAAGAAAGTATTAAAATATAAAGATTTGAATAGAATTGTGTTCAAGACTTGAATTTATCGAAATTTTTACTTAAACAGAAGTAGATAAAATTATTTTCTTGAAACTGACCAAGTTTATAGAGGCTACAAAATATGGTGCTTAAAGTATTTAACATATTTATTTCAGTCATTAATGATATTCATAAATTTTAACTGTTATCGGCATCCAGTGTTTAATATAATGTATAATATCATTCATATTTTTTTTATTCATTTATTTTAAACCCTTGTATATTTCAAAAATACCACTTTTGTCTTTATATAATAAGATCTAATGGAATTTTTGATTAGCTGGGTGCAAAGAAATCCAGTTATTTTTATTTTATTAAATTTTTATGTTTTAACTAATTTTTATGAGTTTAAAGAAATAAATAGAATTTAGAAAAAGTTGAGGGAGGTCTACCTTTTCTTTGGCGAATTTTCTCTTTTACCCGGCTAACTGTAGAGTACCCAAATATTTCTTAATTCTTGTGGAGCATAAAGAACTTATAAAAAAAGACCAGTTANAATTATTTTCGAAATTTTTTCGGTCGAAGGACCTTTACAGCGAAAAGACATTTTTTTGGTTAATATATATATATATATATATATAACAAGAGAAAACAACTTTACAAAAGCAGAATGATATAAAACAAACTTTTGTTGAAAAATCCCTCTGCTTTCTTCCCTTTTTGTAAATTACCTTCAAGGGCGATTACTGCCACATCTCCCCATTGTGTGTTATTTTTCGAAAAGGGGGAAGAATCTCTAACTCGTTTCACGGGCACTTCGGGCGTTTTCGGTAGTCTAGCTTATGAGGCGTTTCGGGCGTTCCGGTAGCGAAAGAGTTAAATAAAAAATTAAGAAATATAAGCTAAAAAAACTTTTTTTTTATTTTCACTGAAAATTTGTTATTTTACTGCATGTTCACTTATTTAACCCAGCTAGTATGAATTAGAAAACATAGTATTTATTCTGTCTTTAGAACAATTTTGTGTACAGTTATAAAATAATTTTGTATTATAATAATTTAGTTAGAGCTTAAAAACTCTTTGTTTATAAAATTTTTGTTAAAATATATCCTAATTTTTTGGAAAATGTCCTATTAAAAGTAATTTACCTTAAAAATGATGTAAGGGAAAGACATCAGTTATTCGATAAAATAAGAAAAGAATTAGTTTAAACAAACTGGCTGTATTGTGTCATTTTTATATTTTGTTTAGTTTGTCTCCTTTTTTAATTATAAAATTTTTTTTGTATCATTTGGTTTATTTAAAAAAGGAAGCTGTGACAATAGGTCAAATGAACTTTAAAATAAAATATCTCTATAGCTATTTGGCAAAGCATTTATTAAATTATTATATTTAAATTAAACTAAAATACTGTATAACACTATTATTAAAAAATAAAATAAAAATGTTGATTGAAAAACAATGTTACTTCTTTAATTGAAATTTTTAATTATCCTAATGAGTTTGAACCCAGTTGCTTTGGATAATCAGTCATATTTTAATTCTTAACATTTTTGTAATACAGTATAAACCACTTTTTAATAAGCCTGCATCTAACAAGATTCCGGATTTAACGAGCATAATGGTATATATTTTTAAGAATGTACTCTTTCAGTAAGTAATTTTTTTATAATGTCTCGAATGTAATAATGAAATTATTTTAGAAGCATGGCACGGGGACAAAGCACCAATAAAAAAAAGAACATTATAAAAAGTCCCACACTATAAATTTTTTAAAAATTTTAAAGGTATTTTGAAGCATAATTATTGTGATCTGTTTGGATGTCACTTTTCAATAGTTTTTGGAATAACATGTAAGGAAAGTTCCTTCTGAACACTTAACTTTTTTTTGAAAGCATGCTTTTTACTCAGCTGTTTAAAATTTCAAAATGTTTTCTGTTCAACAAATTAAGCAAAATTTTGTTAATCGGAAAATAAATATTTTTCCACTTCTCAATAAATAATCTGAAAACAATTTGTGTATGTTGTTTTTCATCTTTAATAATTTGTGCTGAACTTTAATTGAGATTTAGTAAGCAACTGGATTTATCAAGCATTTTTCTGTTTTATCTGTCTTTAGTTACACGTGGCAGAGGTGAAGAATAAGTCTCATAGTGCAAGGAAGTAATTTAGGCAGCTCTGGGGAAACTTTTGATTGAATTAAAAAATGCAACAAATTTTTGATCTAATTAAAAAAAATGCAAATTTTTTTTTTTGCTAAGAAATGTATCACATTAACACAGTTTTTCTCAGCAAAAATATGTTTACTACTAAGTTTTAATCAGCATTCCATTTAAAAGTGTAAAGCATCTAAGGTCATTGATGGCATGTATGAGGAAGAAGGAAGGCAGTCATTTATGGATAATAAACAAGCCTTTTTTTTAAAACAACCTTGGAATGTTTCTGCATTTTCTTTTTTTTAACCAAAACAAATAAGATTGCTTGACTTCGTGACTATTGTTAAATCTTGTAGTTTGAGGTTAATTTTAAATGTATTATTTCAACAAATACAGTCGGCCTAGAAATTTTTTTTTCTCACTGAATCAGTTGCTTTTATGGATATAAACTGTTCTAGCCCCTTGACCTTCGTATGTTTAGATTGTGCAACATAATTTGATCTTATTTGTTATTCAGTTTAATTTTTATTTTGTGCAATTCAACCATAATTATATTCTCTCTTTTTAGAGTGCAGCAGTTGCAGGCACTTTTAGCTGCAACAGATAGTTCATCAAGCTCATCAGATTCAGATGAAAAAGTTAAAAAGAAAAGAAAAAAGTCTCATCACAAGCATAAGAAGAAGAAAAAGCATAAATGATAGTGTCATTATAATTACTGTTAATTAATTCATAATTCTTTATTATTGTTGCCCAAGATTTTGCTGTCCCATGCAAACCTTGTGTAAATAACTATTAGTTCTTCTATGCTGACATATATTAAATTATTATTATTATTGAATTACTTTGACTATGTTTTTACCTTATTTAGTTAAAACTGAGTTCAAATATTTTAAGTGCTAAATAGGAACTTGTTTTTTCAAGTGTTTAATTCATTGATTTAAATATAAGGGTTAAATTTTGTAATTCACATTTTTAGGTCACATTAGTTTGCTGGAGCTTATTACTGTTTCTCAGATTAAGACAAATATTTCTTTTTATGTCCGTAAAATCCTACTTTTTGTTGCAATGAATGCGTCATTGCCAAAGTACTAGTTTAAATGATTATAATGTATTTTTTTAGAATACATTTTTATTCTGTGCGCCAGGTTTCCTTTCTATTGCATTTTAAACTAAGTTAAATTAATCTACGTTATTTTTTTGTTAACACAAACCTTTTTAAAGAGTAAAAACATGTTCAACAGATGCTATTGATGAACTAACATTTTTTAAATGTAGTTTATTTTATATCATTTGAACTTGAATTTTGTAGTAAAAATTGTTTTGCGAGTGAAGAAACATTAAAATATCTTAAAAAATTTAGAGACTATGCTCATATTTTAAACTATATAAATTGCAAATTTTTTAACATGCGTAGTACATATGTAGCTTTAACTGCTGTTTTACATTGCTTATACAATTTCATTAGACATTCAGTTTCCATCACACTTTTCCTTGTAAAAAAAATGGTGTTAAACCTAATTTCTTAGAACTGACTGATTTGGCTCTTTGAATTATCAAATATACAAGTATTGAATACTAATACTGTTAAACGTTGAATCTGCAGAACCTATTCAAATTTAACTAAATAATCTCCATCAGACATTTAACGGCACTACTGCACATTGCCTTTTATCTTGATGCGACATTTTACTAATTGAAGGGCTTGGCAAAATATAATGATGAACGACACTTTTTCTAATGGTTAAACATTTACATCAAACTATAATTTGCTTCCAGTTAATTATTTGAGTTTTTGAAATTTTAACTAGAAAAACAATACATATTGTTGAAAATTTTTCTTGTGACATGGAAATCATGTAATTTTTCACCCATGTTTTCCTGTAATATTAAAAACTGTGGCTTACTCATTTTATTACTCCAAGCCCTATAATTTGACAGGGTGCGTAGCGTTTGTAAAAAGTACTTAAAGGTGCTTTTTGGTAGATTTCGTTTTTGAAAGCTTTTAAAGGTGCTTTTTTCAGCTGGCGTTTTTAAAAAGTGCTTTTTTTCACGAATAATTTTTTTCCCCTTCAGTAATATCTGGCGGCTCTACTGCATTTCACGAAAAATAGGGTGTTTGCTACGTAATCATTCACACGGACTTCATGTTGTACCCACGTTATGACTTGTGCATGCGCGCACACTCGAAACTGAAACCCGAGTGCTCCAATTCGGATAGAGTCAGATCCTTATTAAATGTTTTTCTTTTTAATTTATAATTTTATTCTTGTTTATTTTATTTTACTTCTAACACTTTTTTGATGTAGGGGGTAAGAGTACTTTTGTTCTGAGTTCAGAGTCAAGTTGAATTCACTCGGTGATGTGGGAAAGTACTGCTGGTTTCGATTTACGTCCGTTTCTTTTTTAGTTTTTTTTAATGCTAAAACTGTTCATAAAAAGTTTTTGTTTTTCAATAATATCATTGATTCAATATGAATTTTTGAGTGCTTGAAAATTTTTGTAAAGTGCTTGAAAAGTTTTTAAAAAGTGCTTATTTTTGATTCAAAGATTTGGCTACGCATCCTGTTTGAGTTGAATTTAAGTATGCATAGTACAAGTCATGCCCATGGAGTAATACTCTGTGGACATCTTTACCCTCAGAGTAATTAACCTTGATTTTGCAAGTAGTATTTTTTAGCACTCACAAATATTGTTACAGATTTTGAAAACTGAAATTTTGCTCTGGAAAGGTCTTTTTCGCCATCTTTGTTAATTTCCTTTCTAAAAGTACTATAAAATTTATCAATCATTCTTTTCGTGTTTGAAAATTTTATTCATTCTTGTTTATCTAAAAGTTTAAATATGTGGTCCTTGCATTTACCTGGGCACATGTTATTTACCAAAAATGCTCCCTGGAACAAGATAATTATTTTAAATACATTTTTCTGTTCAATTCCTTGTTCTTATCAAGTGCAGCATTGGTTTCTCTGAACTAGTCTAATATTTTTTCTAATTTTGGTGTATTTTTACATTTAATATTTATGATATTTTTATGCACTCATGATTTAACCTCAGGCAGTTACACCCATTTTCCTTAAGATAACCGGAAATTCTGAAAATAAACAATCAAGTTCTAAGTTATTCTTGAACTTATATTGATAATATTCCTATTTAATAAATTTTTCGGATCAAAATTATAGCAGGACATGTATGCAACTAAAGGGCTGCGAAGAGTGCCACGACTTTAGAAATGCAAATCTGAATTTTGATATCTAGAAAGACTATCACTCATTTCAGTCTAAATCTTTACTGGTTATATAAGTTCAATAACCACTTTCCCTATTAAAATCAAGCGCAAAGGAGTGGGAAAAACTGAAATATATTTGCAAGAGAAAATTGTCGGAAAAATTAGCAATTTTTTATAGGTCAAAACTTGCTAAAAATAAGAAATGGTTCTATATTGTTCGAGAAATAAAACAAATGTATTTTTAAGGAATCTGTCTGATCAGGGGTTTATTAATTTTCTAGGAACTAGGATTAATTTTCTAAAGTTATATTATGGAGTGGGATGTAGAATAACTGCTTTCTGTTTCTTTGAAATTAAATAAAGATAAATAATTATTTTTACTACAATACAAACTAAAATAAATGAATTGGTCAGAAGTCTGGTATATATTTTTAAAGCACAGAAATAGACATATAGATGCTTAAACCACATTACTTTGCAGCATAATAATTAAATTTATTTCTTTTATTTAACATTTAAATTAATTGCTAGCAATAGATTTATATTTAATTAAAATACATTTAATTTCAAGAATGCTATTTTTAGAAAAATTATCATTTTAAAAATAATTCAGTGAATAGAATAAGAAATTGTGTTATGTAAGATATTGTTATTTCAACATATTATTCAAAAATATGTTATAAAATAAAATGTACACACATTTAAAACTTACAAAACTTTTAATGGCTTACAAATTTACAATTTATAAACAATATATTACAAAATTGTACATAAATAATTTTTCAATAAAAAGATATGCTGCCAGATATCACTAATGCTAAAATTCTCATTCAAAAATTAAGATAGTTCTGACTAGATGTCTTGTACAAAAAGGATCTACATGGCACACGATTTAATTACTCTCCATTCCTTTTCATTGTATTTAAACTGTACAAATGATATACACAGTGATTAAATATCAACAATAGATAAACACTTAAAAAAGCAGATAACATGGGTCAAAACAATTTAACAGCTAGGAGCACTGAGTGTACGTCGTAACCATATTTCCTACTCGTTGAGTTATAGTTCTGCAACGTTTATCTAAAAAGAAAACAAAGAAAATTATACATAACATTTAATACAAACAGTGAACACCTAACATTAACTGAAATGTAAAAAACATTACCTAAATGTAATGTAAAGTTTTATCAAATGATATAATTAATAAAGTAAGTGATGAAAATGAATGGAACTCCTAAATAACTTTTTGTATAGTAATTAGATTGTCAATTACTAAAATGTAATCTCAATAGTTTGAGGGACTAAACCTAAATATGGTAATTAAAATGTGAACCAACAATATTTTAAGTTAAGAAATCAGAAACGCAAATGTACTTTCTCTGAATAAAAAAAGTTTTTTTTTCTTTTGCTGGATTTGGATTACGGACCCTAAAAAAGTAAGGGCAATCTGAAAAATATGGCCCAGTAGCTTAATATGGAAAATCATTTAATTGTTTACTCCTATTATCTTTGGAACTATTTAAGCAAATATAAAAAACTTTGCTTTCAATTATAAAAGCTGTTTATCTAAATATAATTTTTTGTAAAAAAAAATAACATTTTGTAACTACAAATAAAATATTTTTAATAATGGTAAGTCATTAGAAAATTTTTTTGAAATGTAAGATGTAACATTGCAGACCAATTTTTACATCTTGTAATTTTGAATGATGATTTGACATGTGGCTTGCCTTAAGATTACATTCGTCAGAGACGATCTGGCTGATTTTGCTCAAATTTCACATTTTGCGTTTTAAACTGTGCATAAGAAATAAAAATTTATATACTTTCTTTACAATTCAAGAACTTTTAGATCATCAAATTCATTAATAAATAATCTTGAAAATTATCTTTTGCATGAAATTATCTTTAGATAAAAGTTAAAAGTGTTTTTGCAATTATGTACAAAATGTGTAAAAAGTAAAATTAACATTGAGACCAAAACTTAAAACCACTAACGTAATTAAACTATCAGCACCCAGTTTTCTTGTTTACTGCTGCAGATTTTGAAGGTCAAAAAGTCATATTTACATCAAAAATTTATTATAAATAAAATTATGTTTATTCAAATGAAGTACATATTCACATTCGATGATCTTCTAGCTTAAAATTTCACCTGCACACATTTATTTGCAGAGTTTAGATCAGAACTTTAAAGGTTTCACTTTAGTACGTAAAAATTTTATCATTAGATAAAAAATTTCTTAGATGTTCGATTTTTATTTTGCACATTCGCCTCTACAAAATTAATTATCACAGACATCTTTTTTTAAAAAGTTTTTCATTATGTTTGACCAACAGTTTTTTTTTTTCAAAAAAAAAAAAAAATATATAAATAAAAAATTTTTTAGTTTTTCTTTTTATAATTTTTGTTGAAAATATTGTTCCAATTTGAACACTTGTGATATATTGGAACTATTCATTGAACTGGAAAAGAAAAAAGAATTATCTTCGAAAAAAATTAAACATACCTGAACTAAATGTTTTCTTTTGACTGTGGACATGTGCCATATTACTGCCAAAATGTGAACCAAAAAAGCTATCCTGGCTTCCAAAGAAATCTCCAAAATCATTCCATCCTGCACTTTCAGATTCTTCTTCAAAATCAGAGAATAAATCATCAAAATTAAAGAAACTGTTTTCTCCAAAACCAAATTTAAACTTGCTTCCTTCTTTATTCTTATGTCTACCTCGGGATCCAAATGAGGAGAATGAGTCAAAGGAATTAAAGAATTCATTAAAATTAAAATGGAAATTATTCTGGTTGCCATCATTTCCACCAAATGGAGTTTTTCCAAACCGATCATAATCCCTTCTTTTCTGATCATCTGACAAAACTTCATATGCTATAGAGAGAATAAAATAAAGTTATTATTTGGTTTTTAAAAAACAGAGATTAACTTCGATATTATTCTATCTAATTTAAGCCATAAGAGTAAAAAAGTTTTTTGTAAAAAAAAAATTAAGCCATTAAAAGTATGGGTTACTTTTTAGATCATAGTGTCATTTTTTATGGAAAAAATAAGATATTATGCAATATATTTCAAAATCAACTACAAACTTACCAACTTCTTTGGTTTTAGCGATAGATTTTCCCTAAATATTTAATGTGTTACTAAATTTATTTTTTAATGATGGATTTCAAATAATTTTAACCACCTCAATTTTTCAAATTAGATATAATAGACATGTCATGCAGGTAGTGCTCTTTTAAGTGCAATTAAAATTTTGAAACATATGCATACTTATTAGTTACACAACAGTATTATGGAGTGCAAATGCTTCCAGGTTAGCACTTTTGCAACTAAACCATGAAAGCAGTTTTTTTTTACAGTTGTCTCATTTATGAACCATAATTGATTATTAATAGAAATATTTATTTGTATTTACAAAGAAAATTAATAATTTTATAGCAGAAAGGGCAATTGTTTTTCAAACATACTTAGTATTTGAGTTGCATATATTAAAAAAGTAAATAATGTAAAAGTAAAATAATAAAAAAGTAATATTCCCACATTGGTGCCAGATTGCACTAACTGTAATCACCAAAGAAACACTACATGATTCTTGTACTTAAGAAACATGTGCCTTGCCCTGAAACTTCAAATTCTTTCTGAGGTCTTTTTTTATTATTAATTTAGTCTTCTCATGTGCTACTGACCAGCTATTTCCAAAATCTAGTGCAATTTTTTTATGACATGATTTTTATGAAAAAAGTAAAATTAAAAATTCTACCTTCAGCAATCTGCCTAAACTTTTCTTCAGCTTTAGGGTCTTTGTTTTTATCTGGATGGTACTGCATGGCAAGTTTACGAAAAGCCTTTTTAATTTCACGGTTTGTTGCACTTTTACTCACTCCCAAAATATCATAGTAATTCGTAGCACAATATACTTCTTTCATGAGACACATCAGAACAGGAAAAATCAGAACAATAGAGTTAAATTGCATGACTTTTTTGTAGTCTTGTTGAATACCTATAAAACAAAAACATGATGATTTTATTATCAGTGTAGTTGAGAATATTTCCCTATAATGATCGATTGTGCCAACTACATCTGCCAAGGCACCAAATGGTTTTTAAACTTGCAAATTTTTAATATAGAAAAAAAGGATGAAGGTTTGTCTAAGGGTGTACTTCAAGTTAATCCTCTTTGGGGATGTTTTTTCTTATTTCCTTGCGGACAATTGCCCAGCAGGCACCAAATTTCAATGATTATTTTATCACAGATTACAATACAAAAATCTTCCCTAAGATTTTTATAGCAATCGAATAGTATATAGTTAGTTTTAAGCAAATATATATGTAATAGACTAATCAGTATAAATTCTCGGGGATATCTCCGTATCATCATCCGTCACGCCAGCTACATTCGCCAAGGTGTCAAATGGATTTTAAACTTGCCAAGTTTTTTTGAAAAAACATGTAGATGTTTGCCCGGGGGTGGCTACTAGTTATACTTTTCGAGTTGGCCCCTTTCTGTGATGTTTTTTTAAGTTTCTCGCTGGCCACTGCCCGGAAATTTCCGAGACTTGGCGATTATTCCGACACAGATCACGATATGGAAATCTCCCCAAATTCTCTGTTACATTCAATAAAAATTCTAGATTCGTTCACTTTATAGGATACTGTTACAAATAGTTGACAAAATTTTAAAAATGGCTTAATTGAATACTCCTCTTACTTTGAAGCACTAACTAGACAGAAATAATAAGAAAATGGAAGATTTCATACACTATACAGCAAAAGCTTCAAAGGAACCTAATACTACGCAAGAATCAATTAAAACAATATTTAATGCAAACAGGGGTCTGTTCAGACATTTTGTGAAAGGTCCGGTTTTTGTGAAAAAATTAGGGGTCCTGCCTTTATGAATTTGTGCAAATAGGGTCTGGTTATTGCAAAAAACTTTTTCAATGAGTTTTTAAATTGTAAATAGATACAAAATTATGCTCAGCACTGCAAAATTATAAAAAAAAAATTAAAATTTCGAAAATAAACAGCAATTGCTGCTTCTAAATTAGAGATGCAACATACAAATATTTGGTATTTAGCCTATACTGATGAACGCAGAATATTCATTTAGGACGAATAATGGAAGAATCGTCTGCCGAAGACAAAATTTAGTTCGTTTACATGTTTTTCTTTCCCTTCCCCCCCTGAGAAGGGTTTATTCAATTAACAATACAATTCAATTAACAATAACAAACAATAATGAAGATAAACAAATTTGTGAACGGTCCGATTAAAAGAAAAAGCATTTTGTGAAGGGTCCGTTTTTATGAAAATGTATTTTGTGAAGGGTCCGTTAACGGACCCAAATTTCTTTTTAACAGACCCCTGGCAAATGTATTTCATTAAAGAAAATTTAAAAAAATAGCTTTAAACATTTCAATTCAACATTAACGAATTAATTTAAGATTAAATTACCTACTGCAAAGTTATATGTTGTTAGCAAAGTTTTTGTTTACAAAAAAATGAGAAAATAATAGATCGATTTTTTAAAAAAAATGAGTAAACCTTAAGAGTAAAATTAAGTAATCAAAAATTTACCTCAAAATGATAAAAAATTAAAACGGTTTTAAATGAGATTTTAAGCACAGCAAATTTATCAAACAGCAAATTTAGCGCTAGTCAACTTATTCACAGAAATTTTTAGAAAACTCGAATCATAACATTAGAGCAGACGACAAGGAGATTAAGCTTACGGTAAGTAATTTGATTGGTTAAAACAGTTTTCTTATTTCTTCACTTCATAAAAAACAGATGTCACACTGGATGAACTAGGGATAGTCGACCGGGTAAAGATGGCGCTAAGAGTCAAAATTCACCGCAAGTCTTCTGGGTTACTACTTCCGGCTGATTTTTACGCCTGAGCTTGAAAAAAAAGCGTCATCCAATATGATTATACCGGTAGTGTTTCAATAAAACGCGTTCTTTCCATTTAACTCTTAACAAAAAGCAACAAATGAATGCGGTAAACCCCGCAAGCTTAAAAAAAATACTCCCCATAATATAATAAGCTGCACTTTATTTACAAATATAGCCAAATGAGAGATAACACTCAAAACATGGTGAACTCTACACTTTATTTATGCTGTGATATTGATTTGTTTTAGGATCATGACCTGTTAGAATTTGTAAATTACTGAAAACTCTGAGGAATGGCAAAAATGCACGTAAATTTAAACACAGATCACGATAATACACCGGAAGTTTTACGAATCTTTTCGGGTTTGTTATGGTCTAGATTCAGTCTACCACTCATTTATTATTAAACGATTTTCTTTATAAATTGGTCCCGCAGTGGACTGATCGTTAAGACACGGTTCCCAGCAGATCACCGAAGTCAAGCATCACTGACTACGGTCAGTGTGCGGGTGGGTGACCACTTGGATCAGTCTGCGTAGGGACCGAGGGTGTGCGGTATTGGTCCTCGTTAAACTGTGCTACCGTAAAGCGCTCGACTTCGCGCGCAGGTCGTCGGGCTACCGAAGCGGGGGTGCCATCCCCTCCGCAGAGGATCAAAATTGTGATGGCATGTCTTCGGATCATCCTCCGGGATGTTTCCCAGACCGTCGCCAATAGCCCATTGTGCAGCTCTAGTACGACGTAAATTAACAACAACAATCTTTATAAATTGCAACATATATTTTTTTAATTAATAACGTAATAAGATAATTTGTTGCAGAATGTTTGATTTTCAGCTTAAGGCTCTTTTTGTTTCTTCGAAATTTGAGAATATCTTAAGCATGTTTCATATTTGGTACAGACTTATGTTGAGTAGAAGCAATCATCCTTTTACTTCCTCATTCCAATCCAACGTTTTGGTTTGTTTGTAAATAGCTTACTCGTTGGTAAATAGCATGGAGTCTAGAGTATGTTCCCAGCTGTCACCGCTTTAGGATCCATGGTAAATAGAGATGTACTAAATGGACCCAGTACCATTTCTGGGGTACATAGGGGAGAAAGTTCTATTTGTCGAGAAATGTGGTTATCAAACTTTTTATAAATAAGAAGGCAGATGATTTCAGAAAGTATTCACTTTGTTGGATGATGGTAATTTTAAGAGAAGACATATCTGGGGGCTTGGAGTTCGTAAAAATTTCATTATTCAATGATATAAACAATTCAGATATTCCTCCAATGATGACCGTAAGAACAATTTAGAATTCAACTATTTTTGAGACCTAATTACTATTTAAGTGAAAATTATATTGCAATAAAATATCAATATCTTGTTGGAGGGGATTATTAAATGACTATTTTCTGAAAAAGTTATACCATGAGGTAGTATTTAAAATAAGCCATTGTGTCTAGTTTTATTTATTATTATTAATTCTTGATAAATTATAAAATTTAGTCTTTCTTATAAATGCATCGAAAACTGAATAAATTCTAGTTTTTGTGAATGTAAAATTTACAAAAAGCATTTGATTATTATTTTTTTTAAAAATAAAAATTTCATTGGAGTAAATGTTTTTTAGCAAAATTGCTGTTTTTTAAGCCTTATTGTTCTCTTTTTAAATTTTATCTGTTAATAAAAAAAATTAAATTTTTTGTTTTAATTCACTTCCAAAATTTTTATTACTTATGCATTAATTTTGTACAAATAAAAGGTCAGTCACGATCATTTTAATGTTCTGGTAATAAATTTTATTTTTGTTTTCATGGATGTAGAAAAATATGAATTCTTGTTTTCCATTCAATCAACCATTTTCACAATGATATTGACAACAAATCAGTTTTATCTTTTTTTTCATTACCACAACAAAACCATCATTACTGTCCCTCTGTCAGCAACAAACACTCCCACTGCCACCTGGCTTGTTGTGGGAATTTTGTTTCAATTCCATCCATATAACACTAATTTGGATCAATTTGGGGATATTTCAATAGAAGTGCATGATCTCACTTAATTTTCAATAGTCAGGTTAAAAATAACAAAAATAAAAAAAAGGTCAAAGTAAATTTTGTAAATAGTAAGAGTTTTATTAATTTAAAAGTGAATGCTATTTGCCTTAGTTTATTTTATCTTCAATGTTAATATTTTTTAAAATTGTGTATTTTATATACACTCAGTGTTCTCCTTAAGTGTTTTTAAAAGTGTGGCCCTCCCAACTTGTCTTTTGAACCCTATAAATGTGCCCCTCCTTGCCCTTTTTGTAAAAATAAGCTGCCACCCCATAAAAACACTGCCTTTTTATTTTATATTTTCAGGAAAAGGTTGTTTTCTTAATCATCTGTTTTAATGAAAAGTCCACTTTTGATTTATTTAGTGACTAATAATTTTCCTTCTTCTCATTGGCACGATAGCCCAGGACGTGCGTTGGCCTTCTCAACAAGCCTATGCCAAGGCATTCTTACCTTAGCCAACATTCTCCAGTTTATTATCTTTAAAACTTGTTTGTCCTTTTCAAGGCAGTCTAAAAATCTTAGGTTTGGCCATCCTCTTTTTCTTGTACCTGTTGGCCTGGCACTGAAAACTTTTTTTGTTGTCCTGCTATCCTCCATTAATTATAATGTGCCTGCCCATTTAATCCTTTGAATTTTGATAAATTTAATGACATCAGGTTTTTTATATGCTTTGTAAAGTTACGTGTTTGATCTTCTAAACCAGGTACCGCTTTTACTTATTCCACCAAAAATGCTTTGCAGTATTTTTCTCTCTAATCTAGCTGTCATATTTTCTTCTCCACGGGTCATTGTCCTGGTCTCACATGCGTATGTAAGCACGGATCGTATAAGACATTTATAGAGTAGCACTTGTTTTTCTTTTTATTAGGTTTGACTTAAGATATTTTCTTAGACCATAAAAACACTTATTGGCCATCGTGATTCTCGTGTGTATTTCTTGTTATTGTCGATTTTGTTGTTAATCTTAGCCCCCAAATAGGTGAAGTTAATAATTATATAGCTTGAACTTTTAATTTGATTCCTTCATTTTGATTAAATTTTTTCGTGTGTTGTTTAGTTACATAGTAAAAATTCACATGATATTCGTCCTAAGAGATATTCACATATTTTATTTGGGATTGGAGAATATTGATGAATTTCTTAGGGATTTTAAATTTTAACATTACTTTTATAAATTAATATCTTTTATTCAGAAATGCACCTTTATATATTTATTTTCTCATAATTTTCAGTATAAAATATAAAAAAAGCTGTAAAATTAGTTGTTCATCAATTAATCCTTTTTTAGCTTACTTTTTTTATGAAGAAAATTTATGCATAGTGATTGTCTTTTAGCTTGTTTTTAATTATTTTTCTAAAGCTAAAAATTTTTCTGTTATTTTGATAATGAGTGACTATTACTTTGTGAAATATACACATAAAATAGCATAAAAGGGTTATTTAAAAATTGAGGATCGAATTCAGTTATTACATATTTTGATAAATTATAACAGTTCTAAATGAGTGCCCTTTCAAAACTCAAAGTGCCTTTTTTCTGTGAGGAAGCACCCTGCCTTTTTTTTATTCCTAGGGAAAGCTCTGTTAAGAATATATGTTTTTACCCAAATCTTATTCGACTTATTTCTTCTCAATATAGCTAATTACTGAACACATGTCACTAAAAATAAAAACATTTTAACTGATATTTATTACAAAAAGTTACTTTTGAACAAGTGTACACTTTTTGGATGACTGATTTTTATTTGATTAGATTAGCAACAGTTTTTTCTTCTTAATTTTTGAGGGTGAAAAAAAAACTGCAGAAAGCGTAATGAATTTTATTTATTTTTATTTTTTTACAGTGAAATTGAAGAATTTTTTACCACATGCAATATTTTACTAAGGTCTACATTCATTTGTAAAAAAAGATATCATTTAATCTTTTTCAAACTAAAAGTTAATAAAAAAAATAACTATCTTCCATTTGTATTTCATTTTAAAATTTTTCCAATAAGCAAAATGGGTACAAAGGGTACAACTTATTTCAAACTTATTTCATCTACCCTTAGGACATGAATGTACATTAGAATGAACCTAATCAAAAGAATTTTAATACAAATTAGACTAAGGAAACTTGGAGGCTGTATGCAGATTTATTGAATACGTTGTATATGCTGTAAACACAATAAAAAAAGTCCACTACATTGAAATTCACAATTGTTGGGAATAAAAAAAAATTAGCTAATTTTTTACTCAATAAATTTTGATTTTTTTAAATGGTAATATGATAACATAATGGTCGTACCATTTTATTTGTGCATTACAACTCCTGTACATCTGAGCTCTATATTTGAGTTTTATTATAAATTCATCTAAAGCCCACTGTAAAATTTCTGAATTCTAGATTAAAGCCAAATGTTTTAGTTTATGCTTAAAATTTAAGTATATTTTTATTTGACATATCTATCTATCTATCTATCTATCTATCTATATATATATATATATATATATATATGCATAGTATTATATATATATATACAATATATATATATATATATAAAATAAATTTTTTTTTTATAGTACACTTCTTCTTGTGTATTAACAAGTGATTCCTGTACAGAAGAATTTGAGAGTGTGCCTTTACCTTGTACCTGTGATGACAACTGTTTGAAAAAATGTTCTTGTTGGGATACAGAAGTCTATACAAACGGTAAACTAGCTGAAAATTATAGTAACGACTTTGGAAAGCCTATTATCGAATGTTCTAATTTATGTAGTTGCACTGAAGAATGCTCGAACCGCATTGTTCAGCAAGGAATTTGTTTTTCACTGCAAGTGTTCATGACGATGTCTAGAGGATTTGGCGTTCGAACAATGGAATTTATTCCTAAATCATCATTTGTTTGTGAATATGCTGGCGAAGTAATAGATGTTCATGAAGCCAAAAAGCGTTTAGCAAAACAAGAATTTGATTGTATGAATTATATCTTTGTGATCCGCGAATACTGTTCTAAAGAAGTTTGCAAGAGGACTATCATTGATCCTACAATAGTTGGAAATATTGGACGATATTTAAACCATTCTTGTTCACCAAATCTGATTTCAGTTCCTGTTAGATCTAATAGTATGGTACCAAAGATATGTTTTTTTGCGAATTGTGATATAGATCCTCTGCAGGAACTGACGTATGATTATGGAGGATCTTCTGAAATTCGCAATGCTAATATCAAAAAACTGAATTTAATAAGTGCTGATAATGCAAGAAAATGCTTGTGTGGAAGTAAAAACTGTACTGCATATTTACCGTTTAGTAATGATTTATTGTAATAATATAATTTATGTATATATATATATATGATACTTGAAATGTAATGTAATGTTAAACATGTTTACTCTAAATGATTTATGTTGATACAGTAAATAAAATGGAAAATAGATGTTTTGTTTCTGCTTCCATTTTAATTTTGAAATACCTGTAACTAAAATAATATAAATGTGAAATAGGCAATGACTTATTTGGTAATTCTAAACAGCTGCATTATCGTTTAAATGTAATTAAAATTTATCATTAGTTCATTTATTTTGCATTTTTAAGAAATTGGCATCTTTATTAGATTAGCCTTCAACTTCAAGCATCATCCTATTGGATTGGATTTTTTATACGGATGGGAAATGCATGACTACCGTAGTAAAAAAATCCAGCCATTCACTTTACATTAAAAGAACTACAATGTGAGAATAAGAGCAACTATATACCTGGCAAAGACCCTTTTCCTTAAAAAAAGAGTATAGATAATACTGGGCAAAAACCCATAACCTTAAAAAAAAAACATAGATAATATAAAGCAAGTGCAATCAGGACAATATCTTATACGCTACTGCAGTGTTATTAGACTGGTTAATTATGCAGTGTATCCGGTTATAATAAGTGCTGATCCGTGTACGCTATAAAAATTGTTACTAATCACTGTCTAATACACACTTATCTGGTATTCCATACACTGTTATTCACAATAAAGCGCCATTGCCCGGTATTCTCTACACTGACATATTCCTAATCTCTCTTTAAGTGTGAAATTCGAAAGCCATTTCCGTCAGAAAGTAAGTAAAAGATATAATAAAAAATTGACTTTTAGAGACAGCTAAAAATAAGTAGATGTAGTAGCTAAAAAACAATTATTCTACATGATGAACTCGAAATGTAAATGCGTTTTGTTTCGATATTTTTTTATTTTATCCGTTTCCCAAATTCTTGAATAAATTCTGACTTATGTAACTGTCTCGGAAGAGAATGCAGGAGTGCTTCCCCTACCATGCCCCACCTGCTATATATTGAATATATTTTTTACCCAAATTGTTGCCTTTATGAATAATTGTTTGTCCTTTTTATTCATTTTCACTCTTCTAATATTAAGGTAGGTTGGTAGTTTATTGCTTCGCACTAGAGCTGCATAATGAGCTATCGGCGACGGTCTGGGAAACATCCCTCAGGAGTATCCGAAGACATGTCATTGCAATTTTGATCCTCAGCAGATTTGCGCGTGAAGTCAAGCACTATATGGTAGAACAGTTTAACGCGGACCAATGCTGTGCACCCTCGGTCCCTATGCAGGCTTATCAAAGGGGTCACCCACCCGCTGACAGCAGCCAGTGATGCTCGACTTCGGTCTTCTACTGAGAACCGTGTCTTTACGAGCAGTCCACTGCTGGACTCCAATAATAAAGAGCAACACCTATCCTAATTCACCCAATATCACATCACATTTAGAAAACATTCTCTTATAAAAAATTATTATAAAAGTTTGTGCCGTAATTAATTATAGTGTTATTTTTTATAATAGTAATCTTTTCAGCTGAAAGCCAGAATTATTCTATTATTGTTTCTACTTCTCCACTCAAAAATTATTTTATTTATAAATATTTTCGGAGGTATATGAAAGAAATGTTGTGCTTACTGTTCTGATTTAATAATATTTCAATTCAAAAATATAGATTGTAATAAATGACGGGAAAAAACGCATATCTAATTTAGCTATAAATGTTTTGAGTTGCAGTCAGATTTAACGTGAGCAACTATTTGAAAACGGTTGAAACGGTAAAACTAAGCTGGGGCAACAATTTATTTATTTTTTTCTTTTTTTGTTAAAAAAAAAACCTTTCACTTTGATGCTAACTATCTCTAATAACAGTAGATAAAAGTATCTTCAGGTATCATTATGAAATGCTATAAAATGGTTACTTATATACAAAAAAAAAAAAAAAAAAAAAAAAAAAAAAAAAAAATATTTGATTGCGTTTTAGCACTTATTTGCCTGTAAGAGGTGAGCTCTTTATTAAAGATTTCATTGTTAACGAAAATATTCTTTTCCACATAAAGAGTGGAAGCTCTTTATGTGGAAAATAAATATAGATAATAAAAATAGATCTTTACTAACGTAATGTGTATTTGATGTTCAAAACCAGTTATTTTAAATGTAAATTTAAAAAATCAAATTTGACAACAAATGATACAATCATAGATTTTTTCGTTTCAAAAATGAAAAAAAATTTTTTTTTTTTTGTTGAATTGAAACATTGCATGAAGCTGATAAATTTCGTCACAATTGTTAAAAAAATCTTTTGTTCATAGGAATTGATTTTAATACTAAAAATATCAATTCAGCATTTTTTTTTTTATTTTTTTTTTTTATTTCAGCAGATATTTCTCTTGATAGCAGCGAAAAAATTTAATTTTATTGTATTTAACCTTTGAAATTTGTTTTAGTGTATTCACTTTATTTTTGACGAATTCAATACTCTTGTAAGAGTTTGAAATTGCCTAATTTTATGCAACTTCAATTGGTTGTTCCATGAAGGGACTTTTTTTATTTTATAACAATTATATAATAATAATTTACAAAGAAAATTATTTGTAAACAGAAAACATATATACTTATGTCAGCAGTTTCCAGCTCCTGTTTTTTCATTAAAAAAATATTTAATGCCAAGCAATACACTTAAAAAATAATTTAGTTTTACTTGGATTAATTTAATATTTAATGAATTTTACGGTTCCTCTAAACGAATAAGTACCTTAACTCCATGAATTTTGCCCTTGAATGCATGCCTAATTTTTAAATTACTGTTGATTTTAAATTATATTTACTTTTATAGAAACACATTTTAAAGGAATTACTATAAACAAAATAAGCATGTGGTGTCAGATTACTTTAGAAATATAAATTTGATGACGTAATCCACGAATGCTACCACATTAATTTTGTTCATTTTATTTATCTGACATATCAAATAAAAAATAAGTAAATATTAAAATACATAAAATAAACTTTTTTTTTTTGTTGATCAAATGGAGCTATAGGTTATCCAATTTCACTGATGATATCTTTGAAAAATTTGATTGTCTATTGTTAAATTTAAAATAATGGCTAACGCTTCACCAATCAGAAAATTTCATTTCGTTTTTCGCTCATCCCGCATGAACGGTTTGTCGTAGAATGTTCTAATATCGACAGTGACCTTCCTCGTGCTTTAAACTATCTGTATGCCAAATTTCATTACTTTCGGTCGGATAGTTTAGGAGTCTATGAAGGACACACACAGTGATAGGCAGACATTCTTTTTTTTTAAATGTATTTAAGATTAAGTAGTAGTTTGTATAAATGTTTTAATATTAATTAAACTTATATTTAGTTTCTAGAGTTGAAAAACTAGGTTTTCATTAAAAATAAGCGGTAATATTATATTTTATTTTAAAATGAGTGGTAATTTTAGTTATCGATTAGTAAAATATCCCTTAACCACGTATGTAAATCTCATAGGAATACAACGATACTGATTCCTTTATTTAACTTATCACGATAAAAAGCTACAACCCCCTACCAAATTAGGAAGTAATTTTATGTATTTTTGTGATAATTTTTTTCTTCTTATTTTTGAATAGGTTTGAAATACTTTTGATTGAGTATTCTAGATGTTCTTTAATATTGCTAAAATATAGAATTATAATTGAATTCTCTGCAGATGTATAATGTGTCATTGTAAAAGTAATAGAACAATTCTTTCATTAATCAAAGCTAATCTCTTTTACTTTATCATATGTCCTCCAGCTATTAAAATAATTTTAAGACTTGATACTAGATAATAGTGTGGTCAGACCGTTTGATAAATTAAGAACAATCTTTTTATTTTAGCCTACAGGTCATACTTACAAAAAAAAAAAAAAAAAAAAAAAAAAAAAAAAAAAAAAAAAANAAAAAAAAAAAAACTTATTTAAGCAACTTTAATTTAAAACCAAAATAATAAGAAAACGATATGTCTGAAATTAATGAAAACAAAAAATAGTTTGAAGAAAAAACATTTCAACTTTCTTAAGATATCGAATATTTTTAAGAGCCAGGCATGATCTCTGATATCAATTTTTAGAAATATTATGCATGGGTTATGTTATTATGGCTGTCCCATTGACAAACATTGACTGTAACTAAAAGAATATTTTTGTTCACAGTTATTATTGCGCGATATGAATAAAATCGAAGTTTTCTTCGTAAAAAAAAAAATCATCTTTACCTGATTTCTTCTTCTTAAAAACGGAAGGCTTTAAAATACAAAAAATATGCACAAAAAAAAAAAAAAATCATGTTTAATGGAGAAAACAATTTATCAATACCATTGTATGAATTATTTAATGCAATGGGCAAATTTTAAAGACAATAAAGTGCTGTTTCTGAAACATATCATACATGAGTCTTTAATTATCGAAAAACATAAAAAAGATATTGAATAAAACAAACATTTAAAGAAATTTGCTTAGTAACGTTGAAAAAAGCTGCGCTTACATTTGTTCTTAGTTTAAATCCTTTCTGTCCTATTTTCAATTTCACTTTTTATACGAAACTATCAATCTTTTTCAGTTGGAATCGTTGTAATACGATATACGAAGTAAATTACGTATATCTTCACTATGAAGTTAATTTCAGAAGTTAATGATGAATAGCTGTTTCTCTTAGATTTAAATGACTGCAAATAAGTGAAAATTTGAAATATTGCTGTTTTTATGTGAGCTGAGTTTGGTAGATTATACCTTTAACACAGAAACAGACACCGATGTCTTATGCTGTATTTTATAATCATAAATCATTAAAATGTTAACTATAATATTTTTCATTAATTTTGACCTAAATTAATGCAAACTAATAGAAAAAGTATGAAAAATATGTTTAATAAAAATTCTGCATCAAAGAGCTAATAGTTTAAATTATAAAAAGCTATTAAATTTTTTTTTTGTAGATTAAAAGAAACTTTTGTCTACAAATAAGAAAAAAAGAAACGAATTAACTGATATTTAACCACGTGTCATTCAGAATTAAAAACGGAAACAATAAATTAAGATGTATTGCTAGATTCTCACTTTTGACGTTTTCTTAACAACGCACTAACAGGATGAGCTAAATCATTTAACCTAAAAATATTAAGATCGCTTATCACGATTCGGTAAATATCAAAGGTTGTATGTTGGATTGTGCAAACTTTTGGACCTCTGCCTTAAATGTCGAATGTCCAAGCTGCTTTATCTGATGCAATCTCTTCTGCCAAACCATCGTAAACCTTATGTCCTATACCACCTGCCACGTTAAATGACACCCACACTTATGGATGTTGTCACGTCATGTCTTAATGTACATACATTGATGAGCAAATAAATAAATATCCTACCTCGCATTTTCGTCAACGAATACGAAAGTTGTTCTTTTTTTTTTCTTTTCCCTCCTCAACTAGAATCTAAAACTGCATCTGCTGCAAAGCAAACTCAACCCCCTTGTGTCCCCGTTAATTGGATGAAGGCTTGTTATAACTTGACTGATAGACATTACGCTCTGAAACTTTTAATTCGAACACAGTTTATTTGAGTTATTTTTTTTATCAATTTATATGTTTTATTAAAATTCTTTTTTAAATGTGAATCTGAGCTAGTATATTAGAAGTAAATCTGAAGCTGTAAATGTGAAACACCACAATGCCTAAAGTTGGTGTCGCAGAAAGGATTATATTGACAATCGTAACCACGTGGATTTTTGTTATGCCCGGAATGATGAAGCACGCCTCCAGTGGCATTGATCCAATTTTGAAGCATATGTGTTGTAAGTGTATTATTATGAATATTTGAATTTTTAGATAGATTGCATTGGTCAGTTTTGGTAGTAAGTTTAGGTAGTTTAAAGTAGGGAATGTGAAGTAAAATATACATTCACACCACATTAATATTTAACGATATTCTAAGACAATGGGTAACTCAAGGTACTTTAAAATTTCGCCTTTGCATTTATCTATGAGGTATTTTAAAACTAAGATTTCGATTGTTTCCAAACATGATAATTATTGCGACCCAGAAAAGAGTTTTGATTTGCTTTTTAATAACACGAATATTTTTTAAGGATGGCCGTCACAGGGGTCTATTTGAGTGGCATGATATTAAAATACACAACAACAAAAGCTCTTTAAATTTCACATATAAGAGAAAGATTCTTATATCTGCTAAATACTTGCAAAATGATTGAATACTTTTTTATCTTTTTCTCGTTTTTAATTTTGATGAATTTAAAATAATTGAGGATTCATTAAAGTTTTTTTTATTTGCTGAAATATTGAGGGAATCTTTTAGAGCTTTCTAATTATTGAGAAGAATGTATATCCACCTTCGGTCGCTAACGATATTCATGCTTAGAAAGTATTGTTTCTTTTAACAAATGACTTAGTGAATTATGTATTCTGATTTTTTTTTAAAAATTTCTAATCATAAATTCAAGTCTTTTATTTTTGAATAAAATGTGATGTACAAAGAAACTTCATGGATTTTATGCATTTTTTAATTTCTGTTATATTTTATCCAGGTGGCTGATAATAATTTGATCAGAGTAACGCTTAAAAATTAAAAAAAAATTATAATTTATTGGGAACAAAAATCTATAAACAGTGTAATTTTAAAATTTTTCGAATATAAACTACAGTCAAGCTGAGTTAGAACTGAGTCGATTCCTCGTTAAATCCAAATCAGCCGATGTTATCTAAATAAAAACTATAATGCACAAAAAAGAATTAGAAAATTTATAAACCGCATACTCTTTGCAAGCTTTTATTTACAGAAATTAAAAGTTTTGAGTTTTCTTTCACGATTGAACTCCAGCAATCGATTTCGTACAACAACCCGTATAAAATGAAATTCATTATCAATAACATTGAATGGTACCAGCTATCGTTACTGCAGTACCATCAAAATGGTACCTGCTATCGCTTGATGCTTTTAAGAATTAATTGCCCCAAAGAATTTATTCGGTTGTGGAAGAAAGTGTGATTTAAATATTTCTTCCCGCCAGTCAGATTCTGTAATTAATTATCGTTTAGCCAAGAAAATGCATGTAAACATACAAATACCAGTATGTGTAAAATCTATTCAATGGTTTGCATAGAACACTTATTATTTATTGAAAAAATGGCTAAACATCTGAAGAATTTCACATTGTTCAGTCACACATGATTTTTTAGTAAATTGAATTAAGAGAGTGTTTTAAAACCGTTTCAGAGGATATGAAATTCGAATCGAATATATTTTTTGCTGGAGGCTCAAATAAAATAAATGAAGAAAAAAAAAGATAAATATTTCATTCAATCCAAATTATGTTCGTAATGACCGAGTGCTATATTGGCATTTTAACATTAAACTAATCATAAATTAAAAATTCTCTCAACATACTCGGAATCTCGTTAAATCAGGGTTCTTATTAAACTAGTTTAACCGTATTATATTAACTATTGTCTTTTAATAAAGTTTGATATTGTAATATCACATAATGTGATTTAAATTGTTGTACATCATCAATTTCTGGTTTGTTTAGAAAATTTGAAAACATGTAATATGTAACATATTCATAGTCGATATATATGTAACATACTTATAGTCGAAAATGCAAATGCCGAGTTTTTCTCAAAACATATAATTGGTTTATTTTGTCTTAAATTCTATTCGGCACATACATTTTCTAAAAATCACTTACTTTACTAATAATTTCCTAACTGTGAAGTATATACTTTTATCTATCAATAAAGTTTTAATATACTAATACATTTTTTAATATATACATATGGAATATTTAATATACCATTACATACTCTTTTAATTTATTGTACAGGACACAAAATACAAACCAGAAAATCAAAATTAGTTTTGATCTAAGAATTGTATTTTCATGTACCAAAAATCTTAATGGTTTAAGAGGGCTAGCTAATTAGTTGTCACAAACGTTGTCTTAAGTTACGAATTACAGACAGAGAAACATACTTTGTCTGAATAAATATGTCTTTTATTCACCGGATTTCGATTTTTGACCCTTAAAATTTCTGTGTAGTTTCTTGGAGAACATCTGAAGTGGGCGAAATCTGTTGGGTAGTTCCGGCGAAATCGAATTTTAAAGAAGTCATACATTTATAAAATAATAAAAAATAATAAATATTAATAAAAATGTATTTTTTCATGGAATGATTTTTTAATTTTTTGGAAAATAACTGTGTGTAAAAATTTTTCGGTTCACTTTAAAAGTTCTTGAGATATGGAGAAATACGCAAAAAATAAAATCAACATTAATCGATTCAAACTTTAAATTGTTCTCCTGAGCAAACTATGGGGACCATATTCACCAGATTGCAGCTACCCCCATATTTTGGGGGTCAGAAATTCGAATTCATTGAAAAAAAAGGTATGTTAATTCAGAGAAAGTGCTTTTTTGTGTCTGATTTCATAACTTAAAATATCATCATCTGCTATAATTAATTTGCATATTCAAGGTCACCCCTTCCAAACCATTCAGTTTAAGCCTTAGTGAGGAAAGATCCGATCATTCGATCAAAAGTTATTCTGGGTGGTCCGTTTTTTTGGTGCACTGTACATCAACAGTTTGTGAAATAGTCAAAATTTGAAAACTCATTTTAAAGTTTTTACAATCGAAAGTAAATTTAAGTTTTACTTAGTTTTTCACATTAGAAAAAAACTATTATCTCTGACAATTGATCGAATTATCTCTGACAAACTATTAGTAACTCAAAATGTGTTTTATTAGAGTTTTTAAAAAAAATAATACTTTGAAGTGAAAAAAATGCAATTTTATTAAATAAACAATATATATAACATATATTTGAAATCGTTTCGTTATTTTCAGTTTTAAATATTTGTTTTTGCATAAAAAAAATGATACATCGAGAATGTTTTTGGATTTTGAGTCAATGTACACTATACCAACAGTTTGTAAGTGATTAAAATATTGAAAATTAGTTTAAGTATATAAAAAATAGAAAATATGTTTATTGAATTTTTCTTTTCTTTTACTTTATTAAATAACGCTTATGTGATACTTAAAAATAATCACCTATTGTTAAAACAATTTCATTACTTCCTATAAGATAGCTAATAATATCGCTAAAAGATCAACCTTTTTTTTTCTTTTTCTAAAACAGTATTTTTCTTATTAGCTTACAGTTTTAAACTACACGTTTCACTACACTTTTCTTTATTTTCTTATTAATATTGATAATTTTATGTTCTGAGAAGATTTGTTGCACCAATTGAGATTCTTCTTTAAGATGTTTATAATTGAAAATTAGTAAATGATCTTAAATTAAAGCATTCAAAAAGTGAGATTCATGTATTGATTCATATACAAAAAGTGAATATCAAAATAACTACATTTCCAAAATTCTATTTCTGAAAAGAATTGCTGTGACGTATTTTGTATATTTTTATTCCAATGAGATAATTTTGTAGCCTCTCATTCACAGAATTCATAATTCAAATATGCAAATAAAAGAACTTAAAAGCCAAAATTAAAAGTCTGAAAAATTTAATTCTTCGAAATTTTATTTCATTGTAAACTTAAAAACGGCACTATGTTATTTAAAAATATTTTTTTTTAAAAATTTCGAGACATTTAGTTGGTTTTTAATGTGTGGCAGATTAAATGAGTTTAGGAGCATAATTATTCCTAAAACTTAAAAACGTTAGTAACTGTTATCTAAATAACTAAAATAGTGCATAAAACAAAATTTTAAAGATACTTATCACAAAAAAATAAAATAAATATATGGTACTCAATAACAGCAAGAAATCTTTTAAAATTTAATAGCTAATTTTTTCTATTTGCAGTGAATTCTTTGATTATTATTTTAAGAATTGAACAGTTTTCTTTTTTATTATAAGAAAATGTTGCTATTTTAAGATACTTTTGAATGAAACTGTTAAGTTCGTGAATAGTTATAATTAGTGTCGAACAATACAAAGCAAAATATTTAGACACAGCTACATATCGTGGACAAGATGTATTGAATATTTAGAGCGACGCAAATTACTGAATAAAAATGGAACTTTTCAAGGGACTTTTTATTTTGCTGGTTGTTTTAATTCGTTTTAAAATTTTTAAATAACAATAATCTGTTGCCATTGTTTTACTAATCTTCAACCTTTTTTTCAGAATTTGTAAAATATTGTAACGATAACTAAACATTAATTATTTCTATTGTAGCCTATAGATTTACTAAAAAATAGTTTTTTTTCTCCTCTTTTTTAAAAATTAAAATTGTGTATGACTACTTTTAATCATTAAAATATTTTTAGACAAACTCTTCTTCCTCCAATTAAAGTTTTTGCTGATTACTTCATTGACGATTGAAATCTATTATCTAACATGCATGATTGAAATCCATTACGAATTAAACAAAAATAGGAATCTAATGTGATCAAAATATAAAACTCATGATTTTAAAATTTAAATGTTAAAATTAATTTACAAATTTTGTTAAAAGTAAAAATTCATGCATCATTACTATGAATTTATTTATCTTTTTAAACTTTAGTACATTTTTCAATTATTCAATTAGTATATTTAAATTACATACTGTACTCTTAATCAATTACATTTGTTTTGAAAATTTCGTAAATATTTAGATCAATTACAATTATTGAAAAATTTTTTTAATATTGTTTTTTTTTGTTTTTTGATGTAAGTAAATCGCACATAATATTCTATATATATATAGATAAAAGATTTCAGGAAACATGAAATAATAACAAATTTATGGAATAATAAAATCTATTTCCAAACTTTAACAAGTTTAAATAATGTCCAAAACTTGTCTAAATAATTTTAAGAAATATAAAATAAAAAATTTTTTGTAGAATATTAATACTCATTTTTAAGCATTAATAAGTTTTAAATAATATCCTAAACATGCGTAAATAATTTTATTAAATATGAAAAAATTTATAAAATTTTAAAGCCTATTTTTAAACGTCAATAAGTTTAAGTAATACGAGTATATCAAACATGCCTAAGTAATATCATGAAATAAAAAAATATCAATAAGTTTATAGAATAATAAAATCGCTTTTTAATCGTCAATAAGTTTTAAATAATATCCGTAACATGCCTAAGTAATTTCATGTAACATAAAATATGAACTAGTTTATGGAATAATAAAACCTATTTTTAAGCTTCAATAAGTTGTAAATATTTTAAATTGAGAAATGGTATTTACTTATAATAAATACTTGAAACTAAAAGTTTCACTTTTGTAGTGGTTTCTGACATATTGATTTAGATTCTTTTCACAGAGACAGAAGTTTAAGTTCTGAAAAAGAATGTTTTCAGAACTATTTATCTCAGAAAATCAAATTCCAGCGTGAAAAGATCAATGAAAAAAATCAATATTTAATTTTGTTTATGCTCGAAGTAAAACACTATTACGATCCTAAACAGATTTTGTTTGGATCGTGTAAAATATTAGACTTCTTGAACGGAAGAAATAAATGACCGAGATTAACGATTATTATTCTTGTTATATTTGTTTCTAAATGTCATAGGAGCAAACAGTAGCATTTGACATTTAGAAAATGCGTGGGCCTTTTTCTCAGAACTCACTTATTATATTATTAGATAAAAAAAATTAGATTTTAAATTAGATTTAACTAACATAAAGTGACATTGATTTGAATTTTTTGTGCAAGTTACTATTCTTCACACAAATATGGAACAAAAATACTTTATTTTTAAAACATTTTTTTGTAACAGCATCTGAACTAAGACTTTTTGAAATATTTGTTCGTATATTTCATGTTTAAAAATAACAGAAGAGGATATTTAAGATATATTCAGAATATATGTGATTTATGCTAAATACATTTACCATATTGGATTAGAATTGTGTTATAACGCAATCACAATTTGTATACGAATAATAATGGGATTCTGTTTTGACGTTTCTTAAAAAGAAATAAAATAAAAATAAAAAATAATACTTTAAATATTACAAACCAATCTTTAAGAATTCCCTAATTTAATAAAAGTTTTTAAAACTTACAATTGTATTTTCATTGTGAGATCACGAATGTAAATAATGACAAGATTCCAAAAACCGGAAGAAACTTATGAAACTTCCTGTGTATCCTTCCGCTAATGTTTTGTCTACCAGGCGAAGCTTGTACAGGCTTGTTATTGTAGAAGCTTTTATTATTGTGATTTGTGTTTAAATTTGAGTAATTTTACAGAGAGTTTTCTGTAATTTATAAATTCTAAAATTTAGTGAGCCTTAAATGAATATAAGAAAATTAATATCCCGATATAAAAAAGGGTTAAGGTTAGTCATGTTTTGAGTGTTATCCCTTATTTGACTATATTTGTGTAAAATTTCGCCATTTTTTTCTTTAGTAACATCATAGCATGCTTGTGGAGTTGTCCAAATTCAGTTGTAGTCGTCCAATTCGTTGACTTGTCCGAATTTGTAGATAAATTATTTTGTAATTAAATGTAAGAAGGCGTTATATTGTAATCACTACAAATATAATAATATTGAATGGCGCGCCTTTTCCAGTTTTGGTTTAAAAATAAATTGGGAGTTATAACCCGGAATTCTTAGGAAGAGTTTTAACCTTTAACGTTGCACGTGCTTAGTTCATACTCCGTTCATAGTTGTGTTGCCAATAGGGTTTGGTTAAGTGATCAGCATTACGCATATTGCTTCTTTTAGGTCTCCGACGAACCGATACACATCAAATTGAAGCTGAGTGGGCTTCCAGTCACCGCTGAATATCGAACCACAATCATTCCTAATGTACTGTAAAAAATGGTTTATCTTAATCGAGCAAAAATGTGTTGAAAAAACCACGAAAGAAATACAATCGAATTTGAAAACCATTTGTACTCATTATTGAGTCAAAACAGCATATGCTCATTTTTGAGATTGTGCTCGCTCTCGTTTAAACAACAAATTACTCAAAAATGAGAGCATAGTATGTCTTTTTTGCGACTGTGCATTTTTCTCAAAAATGAATATATGCCGTTTTGAGCATCTCACTGTACTCAATACTGAGTGCATGGAGCTTTCAAATTTGACTATTTGACACATTTTTGACACATTTTTGTTCAATTCTGAGAAACCCTTTTTTACAGTGTGAAAGCTTAATTCCTTTAACCACTGAGCTACTGGTATCGGTACTTAATTTAGAAATTAATTGAAAATTAGAATTGTATGTAGGTAAATTTTAAAATTGGTTGGTTGCTGCATAAATAATATTTTGAAAGTTATTCAGGATAAATCAAGCAAAGTATTTTTTAAATTGTTCAAGAATATGTTTCAAATTATGTATTAATTATTTTCATGCGATTTATGGATTGTTTCGGTATAAAAAGAACGTATTAAACTCAAATGGTTAAAAAAAATTGTTGTACTACAATAATTTTTAAAAGACATTTGAAAACCACGTTTGCATTGGTAATTGAAACACATGTTAATATGTTTCCTTCAAGAACATAACAAGGAACAACGTACAAGAAACATAAATACAAGGCATTACACGACATTTTTTCTTACAAGAAATATAAATAGTTAGTATTTCTGTAGTTAAACGCTAAGGAAACAGCCTTAATCATTAAAAAATTAAATAGAATTTTCGAGACGATTTTAATAGCAAATTTAAGAAAAATGCATGATTTAGATCGTTCAAATTGGAAATGGCGGGAATATGAATCATAGTCATTGCATATGAAATGTGAAATATGCACAAATATAGCAATACAGAATATTGATTTCAAGTTGAATATGCACAAATATAGTAATGCAGAATATTGATTTCAAGTTGAAGTTCAATATCAATTTATATTCTACACTGAAAAAAAAAAATATATGTCCAAAGCTAACAGTATTTGGTCAAATTAACAGTGTTTCTGGTTCTAAGGAAACACCAAAAAGAACGTTAATTTTTAGCCAAAGCGCTTCGGTTACGAATTTGGTAATTTTAACAATAAAGTGTGGTTTTATTATATGTGATAAAATTTGGTAAATGTGGTAAAATTAAGTAATTTTATCACGATACTTAAGAGTATGGCATAAATACTATTTACTCTGTTAAATTTGCTTTTCAGTTTCGTATTTTTAACTAAATGTGAGGTAGTAAGATCTATAATTTTAAAAACCAGAATTTCCCATAAACCGTTACCAAAAGAACGGAAGAATTACCAAATGTATGGTTTAAATACAGTATATTTCGATTTTATTATCCAGAATTATAGTTTTTTGACCAGAAATGTCTTACTATACAGTGCGATAATTTTACCAGATTATTTCTCTGTGATACTATTAATTGTGTTAAGATTATATCAATAAATTATAAAATATATAGCTATAATTATCTGGAATTTAATTAAACTCAAATTATATCTATGAAACTTTAGAATTGATACAATTCGCATTAGTTTCGAATAAAAAGAAAATCAGCTGTTCAAGAAATGAGCTCTGTTAAAGATTAAAGTTTAGTTTGAGATTTTTTCTCTGTTATGGTTTTTTGCCTTTACTTAACTTTTTGTCATCGTTTGCAAAACATTACGCAATACGAAATCGAATTTTTTTACATCTTAAAAGAGAAATGATAAAGAGAACTATTCTTAATTCTACATACTACTTACCCAGTGTCTATTCAAAAATGCTACTTTATATTTTGTTCTGATGAGAGATTAGTTTTCATTTAAACCTCAAAATTATATTTGAATTCTGATAAATTGCAAATTGCACTGATCATAATTTTAGAAATGTCTTTCAGTGTTGATTTAGTTGTATTTAAGCTGAGAGTTAATTTTTTTTAACCAGTTGAATATTTCTGTTTTTCTTTACTACCATGGTAACAGAAAACTGAAAAAAAGTCTAATAGTTACCTTATCATTTAATCTTGATTGTTAGGTTAAGTTCAATCCAAATAATCGAATTCAAACTCAAATTATGTTAAAATATATGCTTCGAGAATGAATGATGTTTGGATTCTAATTTTTTTTTTCTAACTTAGTAGTTGAGAAAGAAATATTGACAGATATATTTTTCTCTTTCAATTTAGCTGCTGTTTATGGAGAAAAATTTTGGAAAGATCTGATAGAGTGCAGTGTTGTGTTGAATAAAGCGGTAAATATAATCAATAATATATGCTATACATTAAAATATGCGTGTTATAAATTAAGAAAGTTTTGAATAAAAATTCTATAGCTTGCACTGTTAGAAATTTCTCAGAAAAAAATGGTTAAATGACAATTTTTTTTATTTTTATTTAACCATATTTAAACAAAGCAGTCAAATGACCATAAATAAGATAGTATTTAAACTGTTAACTGTGATAAAAATCTTTTATTAACTGCTCTAATCTAATATGGCTAACCGAAATTTTATCACACCAACTAGGCCCACTTATTTCCTTGCAGATGGGGATGTTATAGCCGAAATGGCTAATCTGCTAAACTCATGACCAACAGAACTGGGGTTCTAGTCCCAACGTTGACAACACAATATTTCCCCCATTCCCTTTGATACATGAACAGTTTCCAGTGTTCTGCACTCTCTGAATTTGTGACCTCGGACTATTAAAATGCTATACTCTCAATCACGCATAGATGCCAGCATCATAAAACTGCTAAACTATATCTAATGCCTAATTAAATTTCTTTTTGATGATTTTGAAACCATGCTAGTTATAAATGGTAACAAAACCGTACAGTTTTGTATTCATGATTTTTTAACCATGCAAGTTGTAAATGGTTACAAAACTGTAAAGGTAAAAAAATGTTTTCTTTACGGTTAATTGTATGAACAGACTGCTGCCGGTTATTTTACAATAACTTTTTTTCACAGATTTTTTTTCCACAGAGTATCATTATTATTACACTGGTGTGCAAAACTTAAGCAACAAGTGGTTTTTCGGCCACAGCTCCCCAACAAAGTATAAGATAGCCATGAAATCGCAGTATAATATGCACGTAGTTCAGTAGCAAGATTATTTGTATGCAAATTTTAGAAATAAAGCGTCGTACGTAATGTAAGTGTACGTAAACCTTGAGGGTCGGCGCGAGCAGGTCAAGGCTGTGATAAAAGGATGAAGAGCACCGTAGTTAAAGTCATTCGCTGCAAGTGCAAGTGATTTGTTTTGTGAAACATGTCTTCAAGAAATCATTTAGACGACTTTACTCGAGGAAGAATGATTGGGAAGCTTGAGGAGGGGCGTAGTGTGACCAGTGTCGCCGAAGAGTTCGGGATCAACAAAAGTGTTGTTTCTCGTGCTTGGAATGCCTTTAAAACTACTGGTACAGCTGTTCGGAAGGTTGGTGGTGGCCGTCCAAGGAAAACAACACCAAGAGATGACCGTTACATTGTCC